AAGTAAATTTCTCCTACAAGTTTGCCTAATCCGTGTTCTGTTTTAATAGCCTGGAGGAACTAAGACAATGGGGAACTTAAACAGAGGGAGCTGGAGGAATCTGAAGACCAGGGTCTCTAAGTCAGGTAGCACACACAGTATTTGTTAAGTAAGGATCAGGGACAGGAGCATGAGGAAGAAAGGTGGAGAGGCTTCATTCATTTCTATGTTTTTGAAATTTACATGGAAGAAGTAGTGAGCAAGCACCTGCGTGTTTGGAGTAAACTTCCTTAAAACTGTAAATATTAGAAAGTAAGATTTGAAGCCACAAATGATAGCTTTAAATTTCTATTGCTAAGCTATTGCTTAAACTAGCTCCCTAAGCTGTTACAACATTAACGATTTCACTTTCTTTTTGTTGTGTTGCTCAAGGTAGCTCCTTGCTTGGGGCTCTATCTTAGAGACAAAAGTGCAACACCACTCCATCTAGTCTATCGGCAGGCTTTCATTAATGTTTGTTTTGCCTTTGAATTTGTAGGGAACTGGATTTTTGTTGTTGTTGTTTTGTTTGTTTGTTTGTTGGTTTTTCGAGACAGGGTTTCTCTATGTAGTTTTGGAGCCTGTCTTGGAACTCACTTTGTAAATCACGGTGGCCTCGAACTCACAGAGATTCGCCTGCCTTCGCCTCCCTTGCTAGTGCTGAGATTAAAGGCATGCATCATCACACCCGGTTGGAAGCTGCCTTTTTAAGTGACTGGCATGTAAGATAAGCGTTATTCAATCGCTGCAAGATTTAAAAAGTTCAAAAGTATTACCAGTAGCCTTTGAAAGTCATACCTTCTAAAATACGGAAATAATGCATATTTCATCTGCCAGCCAATCTCCCAGTGAGGAGATACTTTTTCCCAGCCAATTGCAATATCTAGTGAGGAGATACTTTTTCTTTAGAGTGGTTGAATATTTTAACACAAGATTATCAAGTACAGAATACCAATAGTCAGCTTTAACTAAAGCAATCACAAGAATAGCTGCCATTATTCTGAGGTCTTTCAGATATGTTCCTAACATGTTCATGTGCACTCAAAAATGTATTAAACAAACTGGTAAACATTACATATCTATAAAAATACTTTGTCTATTTATTTGCTAAATAAGAAGAAGTGGGCTGATTGTGAAACTCTCAGTTTCCTTTTCTCTAAGCCAGTAGCTATTGCTGGCCATGAGTGTGCCCGTGCAGGAAGTTGCAAAACAGAGAGAAGAAAGAAAGGCGAGATGGCACTATTTTTCCTCTGGTTTAGACATTACCCCCAATGCTTCCCTTTGCTCCTGGCGACAGATGTAACTATTCAAGGGCAATGGGATTGACAGGGAATATGCCCTAGGACTTTGGTAAAGCAGGGTGACTGTCACAGAGCTGAGCTGCTAGAATCTAGGCTCCCTGGGAGCTTCTCTGCTTTGCTCCTCACTAGTAGGGATCCTATTGTGACAAGATCACATACTATCCAACTTAGATCTCTCATCAGCCAGGCAGGAATAATATAATAATTTACATTACTTCTGAGCTCCCGTCCCTCTTCTGGATGTTGCTAGGCTTATGGTAACTGTGATGCACGGACTGCCAAGCAAGAGTTTGTTGAAATGCTGAGAGATTTATAACTCAAATTTAAGACAGTGAGCTCTTGTCACTGAACTTTATTTAGCACAGTGCAAGAAAATATTACATCATATTAGATCAGGAATTGATAAACCATAGCCTCCCTTGTTTTTTGTGTAGACTACAAGTGATGTTGTGCATATTTTAAATAAACTGAAATTTAAATTTTAAAGGTTGTAGAAATCTGTCTTCTCACTTATTATACTTACACATTGCCCCTGTGTTTGCTTTGGGTCTGTTTAGTCTAAAGTGTTTATTACCTGTTGGTTTTATTTTGTTGTTTTTAAAGCTTGCAGATCCCTGGGTTGGCCGAGCATGGAATTTCTGGCCAGACAGTGAGCCACAGAATTGTCTCTTACTGTTTGTATGACCTTGAGCATATTCATTTACTAAGTTGAGTTTCCCATCTATGAAGTGGGCATACAAGTAGTATTTACCATAGAGTTAAGTCTATTTAATATGCTTAATAAAATATTCATTAGACAGTAAGGACACTACACATTGTAATTATTGTTGTTATTGTTGCTTTGCCATAAATTTATTGAGATGAAATAAAAATAACAAAGCTAAGTGTTGATAGACTTTTAAGATAAATAAAAAAACTGTGATACATTCTACCATATTATTTGCAGGGATTGCTTTTACTTAAAGGACATTTTAAATTAAACAATGACAACAAAGATTCATTGAAAAATGGTAAATCTTCTGTTGTAATTGAAGTGATAAAGTTAGATCTAGCTACCTAGAACTGAGACTCTAGTCTTAAGATTTGATAGATTAAAACCTCGCTTTTTAGAATTTTGCTTGCTGAATTCTGCTCAGTTACTAGAGTGAGGGAAGAAAATAGATTCATAGATTAAATGGATAATTATTTTATTAGAGGGTAATATGCAAAAAGACTAAAGGAACAATTTTACAAAGTTGTAAGCTTTCTGTTTGTACCCGAGGTCAGAACTTTAAACTGGTAAAGTCACCAATTCTCTGTGAAACACAAAACAAACAACTTCCCAAAATTTGAGCACATAATGGTGCTTAACTAAAAAAAATAGTTAAGAGATAAAATTGATTAATTAATGTGTACAATGAAATGGTTTTCAGTGAATCTAGAGTTATTCTACCATAATGATGATCAAGTTCAGAACATTTTTATTAGTATAAAAATCCATGGTACCCATCAGAAATGAAAAAAAAAACCCCAGTCCTTAGCAACCACTAGCCTGTTTTCTGTCTCTCTCAATTTGCCTATTGTGGACATACTATATAAGTGAACTTACACAATGTGTGGTCTCTGTCGATGGCTTTATTTTTAGCATGTTTTTGAGATTTGTTCACCTGGTAGCAGGCCACCAATACTTTGTACCTGGTTGTTGCCAATTAATTTTCCCTGTGGATATACCACTTTGTCTATCAGTTGGTGTGTGTTTGAGTTACATTGAACACCCAATGTGTATAACTCTTGCACCAGCCTTTTCTTTTGGACCACCAACCAGCTCCCAAATCATGACACTGAGACTTATTATTAGTTTTGGATGTTTGGCCTAACTTAGACCTGCTTTTTGTCTAGTTCTTTTAACTTAACCTGTTTCTCTTTATCTACCTTTTGCCTTGGGGCTTTTTACCTTTTCTTACTTTCTCACTGTCTCTAGGTCTGGCTTGCTGATGGCTGGCTGGTTGGCTGCCTTCTGGCCCCAGGCATCTCTGTAGAGCGAATCTAATTAGTCTTAATGATAAACTGTCTGGCCTCTATGGTTAACTAGTGGCTAGCTTCACCCTCTGATCTTCAGGGCAAACTTTGTCAGAGCACAAACAAAACACCACTACACGTCTCCCTCTCGTTCTTCTGTCTCTTCTCTTGAGCCTAGATTCCTCCTTCTATTTATTCTGTCTGCCTGCCAGCCCTGCCTATCCTTTCTCCTGCCTAGCTATTGGCTGTTCAGCTTTTTATTAGACCAATCAGGTACCTCAGGCAGACAAGGTAAAACAAATGTAACACGCCTTTTCATAATTAAACAAATACAGCATAAACAAAGTAACACACCTTTACACAGTTAAAGTAATACTCTACTCAGCAGCCTAAACAAATGTAACACATCTTTGCCTAGTTAAAATAGGATTCTATAACAAACTCTTTTTACTCTGAGTAAAGCCTCATTTTGACACAGCATTGCTTCTGGCCTGAAGTGTCCTCCTCAGGCCAGTATGAAATCTGGCCAAAACACATGCTCAGTATTGTTCATAAACCAACAAAATGCAACTGTGATCACATTGGGCTATTATTTTGTATTTAATTGGTAAAGGATTAATGTCTGCTAATACTGGCACTAGATCAATACAATCTCTTACATTGTTGGGAAAATGTATGTCTCAATATAAAACAAAACAGCAACACCTGAAAACAATTGACAGGAAATTCAGTAGTGGAGCTGGAAATACAGCAACCCCCAAGAGACTATCTACATTGTATGGCACTCTTTTTATAAAGTTGAAAAACAAGCAAAATTGAACCACATATTTATGTACATGTGTATAAGGACAAAACAAATACGAAAAGGGATGTTCAGCAACTGCAAGCAAATTCATGATTTAGTTATCAAATTCATGATTCTAGGTTGGAATAGAAGAGGTGCGGTTTAATGTTTTTTGGGTTAGGGATGCTGTCAAGGAGTCCATAATAAACAAATACAAAGGACTGTTCTCCATGGATTAATAAGAATATTATGAACCAGAAATAAAATAGTGAACTTACTTTAACTGATGTCTAAGTAAATAACAAGAACAAAAAGTAAACAAAACTAATGTTATTACATCGTAAAAGATCAGATAGCGATAATATGTAATTACAATTGTAAAAAGTTTTGCTAGTTATCCTTCCGATAGAAAAGTTACAATTCATAGCACAATTGTAATATTACATACATAATCAGTTGATTGCGAATAAAAAAATAGACTTATTGAGAGTAAAAAGATGTCAACTTGAGAAAGTCTGTCCTGTGGGAACTGCTTTGGTGAAGCCGCTCCAAGCCCTAACCTGTCTAGCCTCAGCCTTAGCAACAATAGACCATAGCTAGCTGCGGGAGCCCTCAACAGCTCGGAGGAAAGAGAACTCCTAGCGTCCAGACGGCACATTGCAGCTTGGCTCAGCCTCAGAGGACACGCCCCTAAAGCCTGCCTCACATCCGGGGGTGTGTCCCGCCCTTTGTGGGCGTGCCCAACTCGTGTGTGGGCGTGTCCATCTCTGCTTAGGGGCGTGCCTTCCAGGGAAGGCGTGTCTAGTTCTCGTAGGGGCGTGGCTAGAGGGCGGGCTGGTTACTGAGAGTCAGGCTACGCGTCGCGTTGCGGTGACGAGATCAGCTCCGCGCCGACGGGATCCAGTCGCAGCAGGGCGGCTGTGGCAGATTTTTCGCTGAGGGGCGGTGTGCCGCCGGTGGCATGTTACCGGCTATGGAAACTGTGGAGGCGGAAGAGGAGTACGCGGAGGATTGTCCTGAATTGGTCCCCATTGAGACCAACAACCAAGAAGCGGGAAATCTTGACTTCATCATTAAGATTCCAGTCACAATTATCACCGGGTATTTAGGTAATTAACGGCCGCTCCGAAAAGGCCCTGAACTGTGCTCTCGGAGGGGGGTCTGCCATGTCTCCTCAGGCACCCGGACCTCCTGTCCGGGGACGAATGTCTTCGAGTTAGGGCTGGGTCTCTTTCTCCTCGCGTATTTCAAAGGTGGTTTTTAAACCCAGACTCACCTTATTGTCCTTGTGGCGTCTTCTTCTCTGTCTTCTCCTTGTGAAGCTCCTTCACCTCAATTTAGAATGAAAATAATCAATTTAGAATAAAAATAATAAAATAACAAAAGTCGCCTGAGTTTGTTTTCTCATCTGAGAAAAACAACAAAACCCAACCGTGTATTGTTATTAAAAGATGCCCCGATCAAGAAAAGAAATGGAAGAAAAAAATAAGATGCCCTGTATGTAAAATGCCTCACACCTTGCTTAGCTCAGGCAATTGCACTTCACAGGACCCAAACTCTTCCAGCCATTAGTGGGAAGTTTTTACTGCCATAAACTGCCGCCACCCTCCTTTCGAGGGTTGCTTGCAAATCCTTGTAGGACATCGCCTTAGAATAAGATCTTTGCCTTGAAGTCTTTTTTAAGCTGGGGTGTTGGGGGTACACAGGGGTTACCCGAAAACACAGATTTGTTAACATGGTGCAGATTTCTGAAAGACAGTTTCTGTGCCTATTTTTTGTTGAAAACGTTTACAAATAGCCTTTTAAAATAGTGCAGGTAACAGGGCCACAATAAGTAAGTGACCGAAAATGCGAATCAAGTGCTCTCAGTCCTGTGTGCTGCAGGGCACAAGCTGGGACTTGGCACACCTTACAGATGACTAAGAAATTACTGGTGTCGCCCGCTCCCAGTTGCTTTTCCCCTAATCCAGTTAGGCCAAGCATATTCAAGATTTTACTTGGGCCTAATTTTTATAAGGGAATAATGTTTTGGATTCCGAGGCTGCTTCATCGAAGTCAAGCAAATTCCTCGTTCAAAGAGCATACTTCAGACTTGTCCCTTGGCCTTTCTGCCCTTTGTTTAATGCTAGGTGAAAGGAGCAATGCAGGCAAAGGTCTGAAGCTCTGGGGTCAGGACTAACCCCAGCAACCTCCTTGGTGCTGGCTCCTTGTGCCTCCTTTGCCACTGTTTTCTTTTTCTTTTTTTTTTCTTTTTATTTTTGAGACAGGGTTTCTCCGTAGCTTTTGGTTCCTGTCCTGGAACTAGCTCTTCTAGACCAGGCTGGCCTCGAACTCACAGAGATCCGCCTGCCTCTACCTTCCTAGTGCTGGGATTAAAGGCGTGTGCCACCACCGCCTGGCTTTTCCACTGTTTTCTTTTTGAAAACTTGGGAACACTATTGTGCTGGCCTCCTACGTTTCCTTCTTAGTTTCCCACCGATTGCTCCAGCTTCCACCCTTTCGTTTCATTTCTGTATAGTTTGTTTTGATGTCCTACAGACAGCTCCAGACTTCACATATCCAACACTCCATATGCGAGTATCTCTTCAAACCCTGCTCCTGAGATTCCCAGTCACCTGCCGCACTGACATTATCTCCTAACTACAGTAGTCCCCAGTCTCCCTGCTCCTTAGGATAGCCATGTGCTGATTCTAGCCAGACTGATCTCTACAAAGTGTTGGCTTGATTGTGTCACACCCTTTAGGGGCTCCGCTTGGATGAAAGTTCGTTCCTAAGGAGGAGTTCAAGAACCTCTGATCTGCTGGGCGGTGGTGGCGCACGCCTTTAATCCCAGCACTTGGGAGGCAGAGGCAGGCGGATCTCTGTGAGTTCGAGACCAGCCTGGTCTACAAGAGCTAGTTCCAGGACAGGCTCCAAAGCTACAGAGAAACCCTGTCTCGAAAAAAAAAACCAAAAAAAAAAAAAAAGAACCTCTGATCTGCTTCTTGCCTACCTCCCTCATCTGTCAGATGGCCCAACATACTGAACTCATCTTACTTTCTAAAGCAGTGGTTCTCAACCTTCCCAATGCTGCATCCTTTTGCTACAGTTCATCATGTTGTGGTGACCCCCAAATAAAATTATCTTCATTGCTGTTTCACATCTGTAATTTTGGTACTGTTATGAATCATATTGTAAATATCTGTGAAATGCAGAATGGTTTTGGGCAACCCCTGTGGAAGGCTGACTCTCAGTCTGAGAATTGCTGTGTTAAAGGTTCTCCTTGGAATATTTCTTCCTGTAACTGCTCTGGCTAAATAGCCCTCTTAGGTCCTCTGGAGTATTTTATATGTCTCCTGTTGAATGATAAACTTGCAACAAAATAGCTTCCTAATTCATATCTAAGTTTTCTACCCTGCCCCACTTAACATTTTTAAGATCTATGGATCTTAAATTTGGTGCACAGTGGATACTTTGAATGAATGTCAATTATATCTTGATTTTTTTCTTCATAGCATGGTTAATTATTAAGCTCTAATAATTCTTTGGAGGAAATATCTTACATTCATAGGTTTCTACTTTGTCATTGGCCTGTACATAATTATGTTCAGGGCCTCTTGTTTTAAGAATTTCCTCATTGTTCTGTGTTCTTAAACCTGGCTCTCCTTACATGCCACCCATTTATGTTGAGCTTTCTCATGTCAACTCTTCAAAAACTCTTACAAGGAAAATAACCTAAAATGTTGAAGCTAGTAGTACCCTGGTACTCCCTAACTTTCTCCTAGTTAGACCCTAGGAAACGGGCAAATGTGTTTTAGTAGGTTTGTGCAAACTTTTTAGCATGGCTGCTTGTGACAGGCAAACGTTGGAGACTGTCAAAATGTCTACCTACAGAAAAGTGAATGATACAGTCCAATAATTGAACTACACTGCTGTGCGGTTAAAGTGTTGCTGATTTTTGAAAACAATATTCCATTATGAAATTTGGAATCTTTGGTTCACAAGATTAATGTTTTCCTTCTGCTTGAGTTGAACTAACTAGGTTTATTGTGCCACCTGCTGGATAAAGTGAGTGTAGTTTATGAATTTCTTGACTGAATAGTCTGTTGCTTGTTATCTCTGCACCCCATTTTATAAAATCAGTTTTATGGTAATAGACTGCTTATGCATACTAAAAGTAGCTTTACAATCAACCTGAATTTATAGCTAGTTTGTGGATGTTGAAATAGGTTGAATAAGATTAGGGAAGTAACTAAGTATTCTTACTTGAGAAAGGAAGTATGATGTAAGAAATCTACATACTTTTTTATTTTAGAAGTGACATTTCTTAGGAACCATAATTCATTAAGTTTCTATTAAGTATAAATTTTTAGATGCCCTTTATTGCTGTATTATAAGTTATGATGAAGGTATATTTTAGTCATATTAAGTTAGATAACTAACTCAACTTGTAAGATTATTTGTAATTATTTACAAAATATGCAGAAGGAATATTATGATAGTTTTTAAAGGTTGTTCTAATCTCTCCTGTAAAGTCCTCTGTACTGTTGTTAGATATGTCTTGAAAATTAGTTTTTGAGTTTTGTGGCTTTAATATATTTTATAGGTGCTGGAAAGACAACACTTCTGAACTACATTTTGACAGAACAACATAATAGAAAAATAGCAGTTATTTTAAATGAATTTGGAGAGGGTAAGTAAAGTTCAGTAACTGTAATGTTGCAATAATTCTTGGGACCCTTTATTCTACTGGTGAAAATTAGATTGGATGGTATTATAATATGAGGCCACTATGAATAATTTCAGAAATTAGGATTACTTTTTATTATGCTAGCCTGGTGTATGCAATGTAGTGAGAGCTAGCCTGGTATATGCAATGTAGTGGGAGCTAGCCTGGTATATGCAATGTAGTGGGAGCTAGCCTGGAGTATGCAGTGTAGTGGGAGCTAGCCTGGAGTATGCAGTGTAGTGGGAGCTAGCCTGGAGTGTACAGTGTAATGTGAGCTAGCCTAGAGTATGCAGTGTAGTGGGAGCTAGCCTGGAGTGTGCATGTAGTAGGAGCTAGCCTGGAGTATGCATTGTAGTGGGAGCTAGCCTGGAGTGTGCAGTGTAGTGGGAGCTAGCCTGGAGTATGCATTGTAGTGGGAGCTAGCCTGGAGTATACAGTGTAGTGGGAGCTAGCCTGGAGTGTGCAGTGTAATGGCAAAGGCAACAAGAGAGACTGTGGCTCAGCCAGGCAAGGATCAACTCCCAAAAGTTTGACCTCCACATACAGTCTGCCCACATCAAAAACAAGCCCTTCTCCCATACATAGTAAGTAAAATACATCTAAAGAGACTGACTGTGGTTCAAGGTTTTCTGTTTTTTTCTCTCTCTCTTTCTCTTTCTGAACTAAGCTTTTAGTCATTAATAATTGGATGATTCTAATAGTCCTTTTCCAGCTTTTTATTAGTAGATAGCTCATTGTACACTGGCTTTATTATTTCTTATTGTTTTTTTTCATTTTGTATAGTTTTTATGGTTTTGCCTTTTGCAACATCCTCAGTACTTTTTAATGTTTTATATAGCCTAGTATTATGTGATTGGTAAAATGCAAGTTATTGATTCACACACCTGTCAGTTGTTGATCTGCACACTTATCTCCTCATCCTCCAGGGCTGTTGCTATTATTAATTCCAAGAATATATTAAAGAGTAGTGGTGAGAGGATGCATCCCTGTAATATTCCTACGATTGTCTTAAACTGATCACTTAGTTCTCCATAGACTTTGACTAATGCAAAGATATCTGTATAAGCATTTTCTAGTATTATGATTTCTCTGGGTACCTGTAGAACCTCATTGTTTCCCAAAGTCCTTTCTGCCAAATTCTATCTAATGCGTTTCTGAAGTCGATATAGCAGACATAGAAGTCTTTTCTGAATTCTTCGTATTTTTCTGCCAATTGCCTCAAAGTGAAGATCTGATCACTTGTGCTTCTGTTAGCTCTGAATCCGCGTGTTGCTTTTCACCGATGATGCAGCACTACCTGTGAAAGTCCAGATGAGCTGCAGGCCCTGGTAAATAGAGTGGTGGAGGCAAGTGAAAACCTTGGTATGAAAGTGAACATCGAGAAGACTGAGATACAACACATGGGAAGGGGCACAGGATTTTAACACCGTAATAAAAAGAATCAGAACCTTAAGCTTTGTCTTCTGGGAGGAAACCTCAGCTCAGAGGAGGGAAGTATTTCAGACGTCAAGAGGTGAATAATGATAGTGAGGGCTACATTCCAGGCACCAGGAAAGGTTTGGTCAGCAAGAGACATAACGACAACAACAAAATTGCAAGTATATGAGACACTTGTCTTGAGCTGCCTTCTTTACATCTCTGAAACCTGGACAATAAAACGTTTCTCAGAACAGCAGCTGAATGTGTTTGAGATGGCGTGTCTCAGGAGGATTCTAGGCGTCAATGAAGAGACAGGCTGTGCAATGAGGACATTAAGAAACATCTCCATCTACAGAAGGAAGTAAACTACAGGATACGACAGTGGCACTTGAGATACTTCGGCCATGTTATGAGAATGAGTGATGGCAGATACCTGAAGATAGCACTGCTTGGAGGAGTGCACGGGATAAGACAAAGAGGAAGGTCTCCAAAACTCTGGATAGACAGCATAAAGGAAGACTGTGGAACCTTGGGTGTGACAATAACACAAGCATCTAGTACTGCCCAGGTTGGGAACAATTGGAGAACTGCCATAAATGGGCTGCCCATGCCTGCTTAAGCATTGCTGGGGCTTAATGAGTGATGATGATGATGAATTATATGAAACTCTATCATCACCCAACTAAAATATGAACAGAAAATACATAAATGTAAAAGGAAAATCTTTTTTTTTTCTATTTAAAACTTTTCTGGGCTGGAGAGATGGCTCAGCGGTTAAGAGCATTGCCTGCTCTTCCAAAGGTCCTGAGTTCAATTCCCATCAACCACATGGTGGCTCACAACCATCCGTAATGAGGCCTGCAGGAAGAATACTGTATACATAATAAACAAATAAATAAATATTAAAAAAAAACTTTTCTGTGACATTGGCAACACAAATAATAAAAACCCAGAGACAGATATTGGGGTTCAAGTGGAAGATAAGAAAAGCAAAACAGCCAGGCACTAGAGAAGTCTTACCTCTACCAGGGCTGGGTGACTGCAGACCGAGCCCTGAGCCTCTATTTCCTTCCGTCTTATATTCCCTTCTAGTGCTGGGATTAAAGTCGCAGGATTCCCTAGTACTGAGATTAAAGGTGTGAGCCTCCACCACCTGGATCTATTTCTGCAACGATCTTGTGGAGCCCAGGGTGGCCTTGAACTCACAGAGATCCATCTGCCTCTGTCTCCCAAATCATGGTATTAAAGGTGAATGACACTACTGCCTATCCTCTAGTGGCTTGGTTTTGCCCTCTGATCTTCAGGCAAGCTTTATTTATTAAAACATATATAAAATATCACTATAGGTACATTGTAAAACATTTAAACCTATTCTTTTGAGAAACATCTCATGTGTACTTATTTCCCAGGTAAACCCTACTAAGAGACTTTTTATTTGAATAAAAGTTAATTTTTAGATAGCTTTTTAAATGGCTTAAAAACCTTTTTTAGAATGAAATAGCATTTTTAAGTATACTTAGAAACAACCTTATAACAGAAACCACCAATTTAGTGAGGAATTAAAAGGAAAACAATCTCATAAGAGGTTGAAGAATTTACAAAACCCAGTATTTAAAAAGTCTATCAGTATATTTAGAAAGTTTACAATGGATGAAAAGAAAAATGTCTTCAGAGTAGCTCCTCTATTAAATGGAATCAGACAAGTAAGAGTCTGAAGGAGGAAGGAGATGTGTTTATTAATTTTGGATTTGTCTTCTTAGAAACAAATTATTTAATAATTTATAAATATTTTATATGTATAAGTGTTTTGCCTGCTTGTATGTTTATGTGCCACATAAATGCCTCGTGACTGGAGAAGAGGGTGTTGGATACCTTAGAACTGGAATTATAGCCAGTTGTCAGCTGCCATGTGGGTGCAGAGAATCAACTTGTATCTTGGTCTTCTGCAAGAGCAGCAAGTGTTCTTAAGCTTTGAGCCATCTCTTCAGCCCCTGTTCATTACATTTTTAAAAATTATTTTATTTGTGTGTTTGTGTGTGTGTGTGTATATGCATTGTATGCAGGCCCTTTGGAGGCTAGACATGGAGCTGGAGTTAGAGGTAGTTGTCAACTGTCCTATGTGCCTTCTGGATGCTAGAACCGAACTGCAGTGCTCTGCAAGAGCAGCAAGTGCTTTTAACTACTAGCCAATCTGTTCAGCCATTGTTTATTTACATTTTTGAGATAAAGTCTCATTGTGTAGCCCAGGCTGATCTGTAAATTCCTTTGGAGCCCAAATGTGTCTTGAAATCCAGATCCTTCAGCCTCAGGCTCCCACGTGTTGGGATTATAGGTGTACACCATGCTTGGCTCTATTTGAGGCTTACAGAAAAAAGTTAAAATCATCTAGAGAACCATAATTTAAATATTTACTGAGTTAAACATTGACTTTAGGTTTACTTTTTATTGTTCAAAAGAAGAGAGATTCTGGTTTACATCACAGAAGAATCATCAATATACTACTTCTTGAAACTTAATCTGTTAATAGAATTTGAAGTTTTATTGGTGGATTTAGAGTTATAAAAGAATACATGTTCTAAGCTATAGTTTCTTCATTGGAATGTACTCTTATTTCTTAACATCCTTCTGTTTTTGCCTGTTCCTGTTTCTAGGGAGTGCAGTAGAGAAATCCTTATCCATCAGTCAAGGTGGAGAACTCTATGAAGAGTGGCTGGAACTTAGAAACGGTTGTCTCTGCTGCTCAGTGAAGTAAGGAGTGGGTTTACTGTGTGCTTGTTGGCTGGTTTAAGATGTCTGTTGATTATATTTCCAGCTTTGATTTTCCTGTGTAATTTAACTGAATTTACTTACATAGCTTGTACCATTGTATTTTGGGGTAGGATATATATTTTTTAGGTTGTGCTTTCTTTAAGTATTTCTTGCTATTATTTTCTATTTGTTTTGTTGTTCTTATTCTTTCATTGAATTTTTAAAAATTATTTTCAGTGTCTTATTTCACATGTAGAAAAAGATTATTCTCAATTTAATATGTCATTAGTATTATTTCCAAGTATTCAACCTCTTTTTTTTCTTTAAAAAAATTTATTTTATGTATGCTGGTGTACAATATACATGCATGGTGCCCACAGAGTCCAGTGAGGCACTGACTGCCTGAAACTAGAGTGACAGACAGTTGTGAGCCACTATATGGGTGCTGTGAATTGAACTCTGTTCTTCTGGAACAGCAACAGTTGTTCTTACCCACTGAGCCATCTCTCCAACCCCTAAGTGTTCAGTCTCTTTAAACTAAAAAAATAAATGACTGTCATAAAAGAGAATAACCATGGGCTGGGAAATGTCTGTGGATAAAGTGCTTCCTTCACAAGCTTGAGGACCCAAGTACTGACATGGAAAGCCAGGCAGGGCAGTGTGAGCTTGGAATCCCAATGCTGGGTAGGCAGGGAGACTGGTAGATTCTTGGAGCTCCCTGGCCAGGCAGTGTAAGTGAGAGACCCTGTCAGAAAAAAGTAAGGTTCTGGGAAGCCATTGAGAAAGACACCAACATGTCCTCTATATGTACACATGTGCATATACACATTATACATGCCTACACATACAAACACATAAGAAAGAGGGAAGAATCAGCCAAGCCTGGTGATACAGATTTGTAATCATAGCTACATGAGAGGCTGATGCAAGAGGATCACAAATTCAAGGCCTACCTGGGTTACCAAGTGAGTCAAACTAGCCTGGGCAATTAATGACATCCTATCTCAAAATCAAAAGTAAAAAGAGGATTGGGAATGTAATTCATTAGTAGCATGCTTGCTTAGCATATATGTGTCTCTCTGTTCAGATCTGAGTATTAACATATAAACACACAGAAACAGGGAAAGAACCTTATGTTAAATATGCTAAGTGGTTAGATTACTACTTTAAGTTTCCATGGGCAGTGACTTTTTAGTGTCCTAAGCTACCATTGGTCCTAGAAAAGTACCTGACATAAAACAGCAACTTGGATAAATTATCTAATAAAATAAGCTCTTGGATAAATCATCATAGTTACTACTGTGCTTCTGATTTTTCTATATTATAGTGAATTGAGTTTCTCCTGAGTTATTTACAATTGTAGATGCTTGACACCGAGTCACAATTTTCTGGAAAGAGGAAGTAGTTAAAAATATTTTCTTAACCAAGAGGTACCACGTTCAATATTTACCCTAGTTTTTGGAATTAAGAATAAAAAAAACAGATAATAAAAGCCTGTAATCTCAGCATTTGGGAGGTGGAAGAGGAAGATTGACAGTTCCAGGTCAGGTTGAACTGCATAATGAGAGGTTTTTTTGTTTTGTTTTGTTTTTTAAGGAAATTACACTATACCCTGATTCAGACTAGAGTTAAAAGGTTTGCAGCAACAGTGTTCCTTTAATTTCATATTGAACTACTCTAGATGATAAATTTCATCATTATTTATACTGGTTTCCTTTTATAAATCTGTAAAATAAATATTGACTTTTGTTAGATAACATTCTCTTTGCTTTTAATTTTAATAAAAAATTAACACATATCATATCTGCTGTATTTGGACTTGTTTTCTTCTTGTCATTGTTAAATATTGGACATTTTATTAGAAGCTTAAGAAGGAGTTAAATTTGTGTGTACCTGAAAATATTTTTGTTGTGTTGTGACTATTTTAAAATGTTCGGGTAGTCAGTTATTACTATATTTTTTGTATTCTCAGGGACAATGGCCTTAGAGCTATAGAGAATCTGATGCAGAAGAAGGGGAAATTTGATTACATACTCTTAGAGACCACTGGACTAGCAGATCCTGGTAAGAAATGATATTATCAGTAACCAGTATATAGTTCTTCGATACCTTAGAGAGATAGTTAAAATGAGATTCAAACTTTATGTTTTGTATATGTTTATGTGGTGCACATCCATGTATGTATGCATATTCAAATGTGAATGGGCGTTTTACCTTAGGTATTCATGATGCAGGGTCTCTCAGTGAGCAAAGAGCTGAGCTTGTCACTTTTGCTGGTTTGGCTATCCAGCTTGCTTCAGAAATTCCCTATCTCCAGTCTCTTTATTTACTTCCCCATGATGGAGTGGCAGGTAGGTGGCCATGCGCACCCAGCTTCTGTGTGGACGTTTTGGATCTAGCACTTGACTAGCAAGTGCTTTACCTGTTGAGTCATTTCATCAGCGCTAACGCTTTACTCTGCATTTAATTTTTGCCATTGTTCAAAGGAAGAGAAATTCTAGCTTGTGTCACATAAGAGTTGTCAGTGTACTTCTTGAGATGGTTAAGCTGTTAATAGAAATTAAAATTGTATTAATTGACTTAGAGTTATTGGTAGGAATAAGTTATTTTTTATAAAGATTTATTTTTATGTGTATCTATGTGTGTGTGTTTATATGAGTATGTGCCATATGTGTATAGGTACCCAAAGAAGCCAGAAGTGGGTGTTGGATCCCCTGGAACTGGAGTTACAGGTGACTGTGAACTACCTGACATGGGTGCTCTTGAGATTGGGTAGGACATCATTGGTCATTAAGATTAGTCTTCAGGGGTTGGAAAGATGGCTTGGCAATTAAGAGCTCTAGCTGTTCTTCCAGAGGACCCAGGTTCAGTCCCAGAGCTCACCGGACAGCTCATAGCCATCTGTAACTCCAGTTTTAGAGGATTCAGTGCCCTCTTCTAGCCAATTTGCCCTCCAAAGCGTGTATGTGGTGCAAATATATATGCATGTAAAGCACTCATACACATAAAAAGTTTTAAAAATAATTAGACCCCTAATGTTTGTATAATACATCAGAAGTCACTGATGTCAGGCCCCAAACAGATGTGATCTGATAAAAATGTGGGAATTTGTTTTTATTTTCAGTTATTTTTTCCTACACTTTATTTAAGGACATTTTCACTTTTTATTGTGAATATTTTTTCTGTCATATTATTTGGTTCTATACTAATGAGACCAATTTTCTTCATAATGAATTTTATTTTGTTCTTTTAACTAGTCTAATTTTCTTTTTTAAAGTATATTGATTCATTTATATATTTTTGATTGCAAGGAAAGGGGCTTGAGGGGGTGAGAGAGGGAGAGCAAATGAATAAATGAGAATGAATATGAAGGTGTATGCTGTCATACATGTATGGAGTTCAGAGGACAGACTGCAGGAGTCAGCTTTCCTCTCCACCATGTTGGTCAGTTCTCTCTTCACCATGTGGGTCCTGGGACTGGAACGCAAGTATTAGGTTTGGCAGTGTGCAGCAGGGTGCACCCTTGCCTGCTGAGCCATCTCTCTAGCTTCTAGTTTTCTGTTTTTGAGTACCTTGCACATGTTAGGTAGGTGCTCTACCACTAAACTATACCCTTAGCCTTATTTTAATTGTTCTGATTTATCTTTTGCAGCTATGTTTACTCTGATAATCTTATGCTTTCCTTATGTCAACAATCCTCCTCATACTTGTTTCTTATCTGTTCCTCACTATTGTAAATTAATTTATTGGCCAAACAATGGTGCTATTAAATTGATTCTAAATATAGTGATACAAGGCCTCAGATTATTCTGCTTTTTTTGTCTTCAAGCTTGTTTTTGTATTGTATTACTTTCAGATTTTTTGCTATAAAGAGCTACTTCAAATTTTATTTGTTTTATTGAATTTTTTCCTTGCAAAATGAATCCTTTGCAATTTGTCATGCTAGTAAGTTACTCCTTTTTTCCCCTTCCTGACATTTATCTGTGTTTCTTTTTCTCCGCTGAAATCACATGTGTACTTTTGTGTCTGGTATGGGAAGGTCAGAGGACCATCTTTTACCTGTATACATTGATGAGGAATTCCTTTTAATATCTTAACTATATTACCCTCCCCCGCCAAATTTTTGAGCCCCAGTTTGAAAGCTGAGTATTATTGGGACACATGAAGAGGGAAGCTATGGAAATGGGTGACCAGACAGACTGATGAGATGAAGTGGCCATTAGCTTCTGGCCTTGAATATCCAGTATGGCTATCTTGGGTTTGTTCCACTCACCTAATAGTACATAGGCAATCCTTGCTGCTGTGGGGCATCATTAGACCTCATAGCTCTTCTTCCTTTTGCTCTTAGTCCTACAAAACAACTTCTCCTGACATAGAAGTGACTAACACACTTTTTAGTCTTGAAATATTTGTTGTTATCATTGACATTCCCTCCCTTACTGCTTTCCAGTTAGTCCTACATCTTGTCTTTTGGGAAGATGTTTCTGATCAGAATTAGGATTTTGTAAACTATTCTTCTGCAACCTCTTTCGGGGGTGGGAGTTGAGTTAGGAAAGGCCACAGTAGCTCTGTCTACAGTGTTCTAGTGCTGTGAAGAGGCACCATGATCATAGCAACTCATAAAGGAAAACATTTAGCTAGGGCTTGCTCACAGCCTCACAGGTTTAGTCCATTATCCTCATTACAGGGAGCATGGCAGTACATAGGCAGACTTGGTAGCTGCGAGTTCTGCATGTGCATCTGCGGGCAGCAGGAAGAGAGCGACACTGGGCCTGGCTTGAGCATTTGAAACCCGAAGCTCATTCCTAGTGACATAACTTCCTCCAACAAAGTGACACGTCCTAATTGTTGCCAAGTAGCACCACTCCCTAATGCAAAAGCATTCAAATATGTAAGCCCATAGGGGTCCATTCCTATTCAAACCATTACATTCACATAGAACTTTGTTTCTAACTTTGACTATTACACTTCTAAATTTTTGATTAGGGAGCTGATCTTGTTTGTTGGTTGTTCTGATATAATTTTGATACTTGCATGAAAATTTCTTGTTTTATCAGGTTTTAAAGAAAGATTCTGTAATGTAGTTCAGAATTTCTCAGCCTTTACACAAATGATGTTTTGGATGGCCAGTTATCTTCTGTGAGGAATACTATCCTGAGCATTGTAGAATGTTTAACAGCATCCCTAGTTCTGCCTACCGGTAGCATATTCCTAGAAGCAAGTAAAATTATCTCCAGACATTGCCTAATATTCTTTGGGGAGAAGAATCGCCTACTCCATTCTCTCCTCTTTGCTATTCCTAAGCACCTATATCTATAGTTCAGATCATTCCTTTTTGAGCATCCTGTAAGAATTGAATTTTATTTTATTAAAATAAAAGCTGTAGCCGGGCGGTGGTGGCGCACGCCTTTAATCCCAGCACTCGGGAGGCAGAGGCAGGCGGATCTCTGTGAGTTCGAGACCAGCCTGGTCTACAAGAGCTAGTGCCAGGACAGGCTCCAAAGCCACAGAGAAACCCTGTCTCGAAAAACCAAAAAAAAAATAAAATAAAATAAAATAAAATAAAAGCTGTAGACCGGGTGGTGGTGGCACACGCCTTTGATCCCAGCACTTGGGAGTCAGAGGCAGGTGGATCTTTGGATCTTTGTGAGTTCAAGTCCAGCCTGGTCTACAAGGGCTAGTTCCAGGACAGGCTTCAAAGCTACAGAGAAACCCTGTCTCGGGGCGGGGTGGGGGTGGGGGAATAAAAGCTGTAATACACATTGAAGTAAGACATAAAGCTATTTATTTGAATAAAAGGCAGTGAGGTTTTAAAGTTATAAAACTGTGATGCTAACATATTTGGCTGAGTAAAGAAATTAATACTTTTTTGTATCGTATTGTTTGGTATCAGGAAGCTGTAAATTTACTCTTTTTTACCTTTATTAATTAAAACCATGTTTTTAGCCAAGAAAGTGGAAATAATTCTTATTGGCAATTCAGTTGTTTCTTGCTTAGGAGACTGACACTCTCCAGTTCTTAGCTAAATAATTGTCATGGTAAAGTAATTTTCTTGAAGAGGACAGACATTGATTCTGCTCCTGCTACTCACAAATCCTATTTCAGTCAAATTGGAACACTATTAAGTTTTTGGGAAAAAATCAATAGGTATCAGGAAACCATTAGATCTTGTGGCCCTTGCTATGTCTTGCATGAGTAATCACTGTAAACAGCTGACAGGTGTTTCACTGTTGACACAGAGTGATGCTTAGCGGGACCACATCTTGTCAGAGTAGGCAGACAGCTTTGGACAGTGGGATGAGTTCAGTTGTCCTTGTTTGCCCCTGTGCTCATTCTTTTAGACAGCACCATCACTAACTGGGACAGCAATGCTTTCCCTTGCTGTCAGTCTCCTTTTCTTGTTTTGTGGCACACCAATCAGAATATGTGGTTTTGTGTTAAACCAGTTTCTGTCAAATACAAATTTTAATTTGTTTCTTAGAAATAATTTTTCTTCAGATGCAAATTTTATGCCCAGTACTAAGTAAATATATGGCAGTGAGTACCACCAAAGAACTTGTAATTTTTCTTGTTCTTTTTCTTCTGTAAAGATTACAAGTGCATTTACTTTGGGCAAGTGATTTTTGGAGTTAATGTGTTTTATTTGTTTTTCCTTGGGAGGAGTTTATTATTTGTGGACTGTAGGATAATTACATTCAGGAAATAAGATAAATGTCTAGTGTATACTCAGCTATTGTGTCCAAATTGTTTCACAATATTTATTGGTAAATTATTTTGGCATCAATAGAAGCATGTTTGATGAGTGCCCAGATTTATTGTTTGTAGGGAAAGGGGGAGGAATGGGATGACTGCAGGTCTTGAAAAGTTCTGTCACTGTAATTCTTATAAAAAGATTTAAGTGTAGGTTTAGTTTGTGTGTGTGTGTGTGTGTGTGTGTGTGTGTTTAGCAGCTAATCCCACTGGTGAAAAAAAGAGACTGATAAAATTGTGTTTTGCAATTTGAAGAAATACTTTATTTAATGAATATTATCATATTATGTACTTTCAGGTGCAGTGGCTTCTATGTTTTGGGTTGATGCGGAGTTAGGGAGTGATATTTATCTTGATGGTAAGTTAAAATAATTTATTTTAAAGAAAGATTTATTTTATGGTTGAGCTCATTTTGTTTATATTGCAGTTTTAATTCTTACATCATAGTTCTTTTTAAACTTGTTTAATTTTTGATGAATCAAATTTTTGATCATAGGGATTCTAAAGTTCTAGACAGTGATAAAACTGGATTGTTAGGGATTGCTCTCAACTCTACCAGGACTTATACTAAAACTTTCCTTTCAGAATGCTCTGTAGGTTGCCCGTGTCCTCTGTTGCCATGACACACTTAGTATAATGCTAGAGCTTTGTAGATAGTCAGGAAGACAATGGAAAGGTTATATTCCTGCTTTCATATTTACTTGAAGAATTCAGAATGCTATACACATGCATACACTACTGATCTCTTGTCAGTCTATATAAATTTGTAAGCTTGGTACCTCTTTCTTATTGTAGCAACTCTAGTCACTTTCCCCTGTCGTTTCTCCTTTATATTTCTTTAAACCAGCCATGTAGACTATCGGGTAAGAATCATTGAAGATGGGTTTTATTAGGAATGTAGCTTGTTGAATTTCATAGACATTATCACATTCTCCTGTTATATTTTTAAAAACGATTTGACATATGTTCAAAAATTGCTGAACTAATTGATCTTTTGAGAATTTAGGTACTAGCAGAGTTTAGGAATACAGTGTCTTAAGATGTCTCAGATTCTTTAAATAATAATTTAAATATTTAGAAAAGCCTCTTTTTGACTGTGAAAATAAAAATAACCTATCTCGTATAATTTGTCTTATTTCTCTATGATTATGGGATGTGCCTTAGTTTGGACTTTAAACTTTTAAATATCAAAGAAGTTTTATTTTATTGTTGACTTAATTTTTAAATTTTTATCTTCTAGTTTCTTAGAAACAGAGCTAGTCACTCAGTATATATTTGAAACATATTTGCATATTTCTGAGATTGAGTTAATTTGCCACATTGGTAGGAGAAATAATACTTTATTGAATTATATTTGTGAACTGAAGGTGTTTTAATTTTCCTTCTCAAGTATAGTTGCATAAAACTGATAACTTTAAAGAGTGACTACCATGTTATTTCTTTGTAGGTATCATAACTGTTGTAGATTCAAAATATGGATTGAAAGTAAGTTGAGCAAATATAACTTGCTAATTGTCAAATGTAGGAATGGAGGGGTTAGTTGTATTTTCTGTTTCTGGTAAACTTATCTTAAGGAAAACCTTTTTCAAAATAATAATTCAAGTAACATATACACTTTGTGTGTGTTTATATTTTATGTGGTTTTAAGCTTAGTATTTATTTTAGACTTGTTTCATGTTGTGATAAAAATTATAGTTACTATAATATTTTATAATAAGGTTATAGAGTCAGGATAAACTTTGGATATGTGTTACTTCTCACTAGAATCCATTCCTACTATTGGCTTTTCTTTTTTATAGAAAAAATCAGCTTAATAAAATATGTGAGTTCTTAGTTTTTGTTAATTATTTGCAAACACAAACTATAATTAGTTTTCTATACAAACTACTGATTTATTTAATTTTGAAGAAATAAAAATTAGTACATAATAAGAAGAGATTCTTCATTAAATGATACCCTGCTCTGAATGCTTTTGCTAGCTGCTGAGGTCTTTAAGTATATTTTTTATATATATAAACACACTCAAATGCTTAAAAGATTATTGCTGCATAAGATGAAATAGTACGATTAATTTTCAAGTGAACTGAGGAAAATTTTAAAGAAATAGAAATGATGCGAAAGGCATTGGAGAATGAGCTTATCTCTGTCCTAGCACCAACCCCCCCTCCCCACACCTATCTGAGCATATGGATTGGGAACAAAGTAGTAATTTCATGGAGGTTGGGTATGGTGGCGCCCACCATTTGTCTCAGAACTTGGGAGGTAGAGACAAGTTGATGTCAGTGAGCTGAGGACAGAGTGATCCACATAGTGAGTTCCAGGCATCCAGTGCTACCTAGTGGAACCTGTTTCAGAAAGCACACAGTTTCTTGGGAGTTAAAATTCATTTAAACATTAGTTGAGTATTTTACCCATTGATGTATCTAAACTTAATTTTTATGTTCTTTCTTCGAATTCCTCAACAAAATTATGTTGTGGGAAAATTGATCAGGTCTGTCCAAAAGTCTACTTTCTTGGCCCTTCATACCCCCAAATCTCAGTACCCTAATTTGAGACATTTGAATCCTGTTCTAGAGTTTACAATTTAAACTTATGAATAGAATAGGACTAAAAGAAAAATTGAGTTAATATTGAAAAATACTAGTTTTATTCAGAAAAATTCTAGTGTGTGTGTGTGTGTGTGTGTGTGTGTGTGTGTGTGTAGGCCCTACTGTTTAGCCTAGGCAGTCTTGAACTTGATATGTAACCCAGGCTGCCCTCAAACTCATAATCTTTCTTCTACATCTCCTGAATGCTGGGATTGTAGTTGTGGGTCACTAACCTCAGTGGGTTTCTTAAAGAAAAGTTGTAATTTGTTAAAAAAAAAAAAGCATAGATTTAACTAGATGCATTCAGTTATAGAATTAGAGGGAGGGAGGAGAAGAAAGAGAAGCAGACTGACTTAGGAAGAGGACAGTATGTACCCTTGTGTGGGTATGGGCTTTTCAATAGAAAAAAATTATGTAATGGCTATTTTCAAATTATATTTCAAGAAAATGTGATTGGAGATAGTAAAAATCAAAAACTCACTAGAAAATTTAAAGTCCTCATTTTGAACATTTTTTATAGGCATGTTTGAATTAATTTCTTCTTTAAGTTGATTCACAAATTTGGAATACATGAGATAGCAGCTAGGACATTTTATTTGCTTTTTTTGTATAAATTTAACATGCTTTACCGAAAGTCAAACTCTAGTGTTTTATGTTTATAGAAATAATTTTATATCTAGTTGTATACAGAGAGGAATTAAATAAAATCTTTACTGGCATGATAAAGACCCCTAAACAAAGCAATGTTCTGAATAATGCAAACACAGTATATGTTTAACCCCTTGCCACCTTGATAAAACCTCTTAAATTATTAAATCAATATACCTACACAAAACTGACATACTGTCAAGATAATGGAAACTTTAGATTTTCCAAGTCAGATGTCAGATAAATAACTTTGCCTTTATATAAAGAATTTGCCAACTTGTCCAATTCCTCTGGTTGCAAAGCTTGACCTCAGTAGCTGCTTGTGATTCAGAGAATTCTGAGGCAGTACAAGTAATGACAGTTGGATAATGGGCAGCAATTTAAGGGTGTCATGCTTCACAGAGCCAGCCCATCACAAGTACAGCTGAGAAATGGTACCCTGTGGCCAGCCAGCCAAATTGAAACTGAAGTGGTAATTGATATCATAGGCTATCACTCTAATGGGATTGTCACCCATTGATCTGAAATATTCATTTTTTAATCATGGGCAAAGAATTGGACAACTTAAAATGACAGCTCTCTGTTTTCAAGGCTTGACATCTAGGCACTGACATTGTTCTTTTCAGTTCTACAGATGTGACAGCATTTAATGCAAAAGAATCAATGAATGAAGTTTACATAGAAAAGGTCAACTAAGAGATTTCTTTCTGAGTCTTCTGTTGTGTTGCACAGGCTATTGAAACTACCCAGTCAGAAATCAGTTTGGCTTGGAAAAGTCCAGAAAAATAAATAGACTGACATTATGTGACAATTTTTTCAAAGCTGAGACCACATTAGATCTCTAACCAGTCCTCGTTAAAAAGAAGAAAAGAAAAAAAGTGCTGTTATTTCTCTCCCTTTTCTTTGTCTGATGTCTGACATCTTTGACATTGGATTTGTTTCCGCTGTGGTCAGCTCAGTTCTTTCTTAGTTAATGAATTTTTAGACCATTTTGATTTATTTTCTTTGTTTGCTCCTGCTTTTTTATTTCTGCGGGAAAGAACTTCTGTAGCTCAAGTTGTTACTATGGTAGTAATTTATTTGAATGATTTTTTTGTCCCCCAACTTTATTGAGCCATAACCCACAAATAAACATTGTATAGATTTAAGGTATGCAATTTGCTACCCTAATCTGTCTGTGTATATGTTCTAAGAACATTGTGAAGCAGTCAGATACTAATCTTATACATCAGCTTACGTAGTTAGCAGTTCTTGCTAGCATGCAGGGTCAGATCTGTTGTCTAGCATGCAGGGTCAGATCTGTTGTCTAGCATGCAGGGTCAGATCTGTTGTTCCGTCCTATGGTCCAAATCTTAGTTGCCATGCTGTAATTAGCTTTCCAGAATAAATTTCCAGAACTTACTTCTTCTGAGAAACTAGAACTGGTGTACATTGGCCACCATCTCACCTCCTTATTTTGTTTGTTGTGGTAGGCCACACTGGGAGTTTGAATGATTATTCTTTGAATATTTTGGTTTGTTGGGTTCATTAGTACTAAAGTTATTATTGCCTTTTTTGAAATATAAACAAAAGCTGCAGTCTCTAGCAGAGATGAGGAATCCTTTGGAGATAGGTGCGTTTATTTTTTACTTTTATAAAACTTTGCATTGTATGCCTATATAGGTAGAATAGAACATCAAAATTTATGTTTTTGTTATTTTATAAATGGAAGTCTGACTTATGACCAAGTATCTTTTGAATAACACACAAGGTTTTGGTATTTTGTAGGCTTAACTTGGGGAAGTAGGACTTTCATAAAGGGAAATATCAGGCTGATACCCAGAAAAAAGTGCCAGTATATATTTTCTTCTTTTTATGCTTAGAAAGCTTTCATAGGTGCATAGACAGGGCATTTATTCCTTTTTCTATTATCACATGTGCTTGTAATCAAGTTGTACATATTGGCAGGCTTTTATTTGGGGAAATTTTAAGTTACTTTGTTTTTAATCTCTTTATGTGTCTAGAGGTAAGCAAATGTTAATCTGTCCCATTTAGCTCTGAGTGAAACTTTATCTTGGATAAATGACTCAAAACAATGTAAGTTGCTTTGTGAAACTGCCAAGGTTTTTTTTTATTATTGCATTTAAGAAAAATTTAAAGTCATTAATTTTAATATCTTTTTTACATGTTACAAAGTCACAATCAGATACATCTATTGGCATCATGTAAATGAAGCTTTCAGTAGAGCATCTTGAAAAGTATTTCAGTTTTACAGAACGTTGAAATATAAACAAAAGCTGCAGTCCCTAGCAGAGATGAGGAATCCTTTGGAGATAGGTGCATTTATTTTTTACTTTTATAAAACTTTTTATTGGAAAGGATCATCTAGATGCAAATGTATGATTTTTGACTGTTTAGTGAAAAGAGATATGTTGCTATATGTTGTGGAACATTTTTCAAATAACAGAATTTATGTGTCTGTGTCAACAAATGGGAGTGTTAACTATGAATTTGTAGACTGTTTCAGGGCCTGATGATACCTTTATTCTCTAGATGCAGAGTATATAATTCTAAGTAGGTTTGTTGACAGTAAAAAGCCATGGGTAATTATGAAAACATGAATATTGGTCTTTTGGCATTGAGTAATTATTGATACAGTAAGCTCGGTTCTGTAAACTCTGTAACTGGGGAATGAATATGTGATTGAATTTATAAAAGTGTATTAAAAAATGAAATGACTATGTCACTGTCATGACTTTGGTTATGATCTTTAGAAGAAAAAAAGATTACCTCTTAACAAAGTCTATTAAATAATCATCAGTGTGTCTTAAGTTCTAAGCTATAATAGTGACTTCCCCATTAATTGTGAAACTAGCCTGGCAAAATGTGATATAATTTGTACATAATTTTCTATATACTATTATGTAATTATTAAATAGCATTCTACGCGAGACTGGTTGTACATGGCATAAAAGCTTTTAAAAAAAGATTTTAAATTGTGTTTACTTCTATCAAGTATGCTTTTAATTAAAAAATAGTCTGGTGGTGGTATGTAAAAACTATTCTGTGATGATGCGGACATTAGATTTAAGTTCTTATATATGTAAAATGAAAATATTTACTTCTCATGTCATGATACCTAAATGAGTTAAAATGTTTTTAAAATGAAATAATTTGGTTTTGGTTGTGAGCCTAGCCTTTAATGGCTAAACAGTCTCTCCAGCCCAAAGTTAAATACTTTATACAATTTGATTAGAATGTAAAATGTTAATATCTAGTTGTCTGTAGTCCACAGTAGCCAGCTTTTTGTTATGATAGGGAGTCTCTGTTGAGAGGTAACGTGATGAGGTTGAAAACATGAATTTTCAGAAGACAACCCCTGGGAACCCTTATGACAGATGACTTCAGGATATAAATAGTGTTGAGAGAGGGGCTGCTTTCTGGAGGTGAAAAGAACGTTGGCCTTCTAAGTTGTTAGAGTAACTAACTAGATAAGTCTTTCTCCATTTATGTTTAGTAGTGGAACTTAAAGTCTCATTAAGACAAAAAAGATAGCTTTAAAGTAAAATCCTTTTTTTTTGAGTTGACATTAGATTTCTGCATTGCATTATAGTAATTGTTTTAAAATTTTGTTTGTTTTGTTCAGCATTTAGCTGAAGAAAAACCTGATGGCCTTGTCAATGAAGCTACTAGGTATTCATATTTAAAGCTTATATTGATTACTAACCAGCTAGAAGGAAGACGATCAGTAACATAAAACCAAAACCAAAACAACAGACAACAAAGAACTTAAAAATATGAAGATAATTAAGGCAAACATTCTCTTCCTCTCACGCATCATTGCTGTCTACCAGTCATGGACTCAAACCAGCATGTTGTTTAAGCCGTTTATATTGTGGGATGAAGTGAATGGTGGACACAGGACTTAGTTGATTTTGATGAACTTAGAAGATTTTTTTATTTTCTTATTTTTTGGTTTTTCAAGACAGAGTTTCTCTGTAGCTTTGGAGCCTGTCCTGGAACTAGCTCTTGTAGACCCGGCTGGCCTCGAACTCACAGAGATCCGCCTGCCTCTGCATCCCGAGTGCTGGGATTAAAGGCGTGTGCCACCACTGCCCAGCTTGAATTGAGAAGATTTTTAACACTTATTATAAGCATCTTATTCTCATGCCAATTCTTTGAAATTGAAGATAGTAAGTTGCTTCCTTAGAAACTCCCTACTTCCTCACTGTACTTAATACAGAGGAACAAATACTGAAATACTTTTGACTTGGCCATTAAAACAATTTTTATGTATTTCTATGTCTTGTTTTGTCTGTAGACTTACAAGTATTTAAATTAGTTTTCCTACCCCAAGCATATTTTCACTAATGAGATGAAGGTTTTGAAACCAAATATGCTGCTGGGCTTAAGAGCAAGGCCTTCTGGGATCCCAGCACAGGAAATAAAGACTAAGCAAATGATTCCTTGTTATCTTGGAATTTGATAATTGAATTCTTTGGTAACCCTTCCTAAATATTGTATTTTTGTGTAATTGTGATTTAAATTAAAATGAATTTTAATATGATTAACTTTTTCCTCACAAAATGGTTATTGTAGAAAATATACATAAGCCAAATAGAAATATCAGAAAGTTGTGAAGTCCATGAGAGATTAAATAGAAGGTCTCCAATTTAAAGACTGTGACTGTTAGTATTTGAAAATGTGGACATTCTGTCTTTAGTCACATCAGATTACTTAAATAGAAGTAGGATTGTGAGATACAGTCTGTAGTTTTTTTTTCATTTTTGCTTGTGTTCTTTGATTAGTATCTTAATAACAGACTTAGAAACTAGTAATTCAGTGATTAGAATTTCTAGAAGAATTGAGGAAAATAATCTGTTATGTAGCATTTTATCAGTTGGAGTCTTTAACTGGGATTTTTTTCTGTCTATATTTTACAACAATAATATTCATGGGATGAAGAAGATATTTACACAAGATCTTGATATATTTTTGATATATAGTATTATAAAGCAAACTTTTTAATGTTAAGTAAACTTTTTCTTTGAAAATTATGGTAAATTTTACAATTTTTTATCAAATAGGCTATCCTTATTCCCATCATGATAGATAGATATGAATTTTTTTGCTTTTCTTTAATACACACACCACAAACTGAAAATTATTCTTTATTAAAAACTCTGGAGGCTTATCTTTATAGAATCAGTAACAAATAATTTTTGGATGAGCTTACATAGTAATGTATGAAATTATTCTGTAGAATGAGTAGATTGGGAATAAACTGAGGCCAAGCTAGTTCTTAATTGAAATGTTGACTTAAATGTTTCTAAACGTTTTTGTGATTTCTTGACATTTTTCTTCTGACAATTGTTCTTTGATGTTTTAGGCAAGTTGCTTTGGCAGACATGATTCTTATCAATAAAACAGACTTGGTTTCAGAAGAGGAGCTAAACAAATTAAGAACAACTATCAGGTACAGTAGACAGCACTTGACTATTGTATTGTAAAAGCCAAAGAAAGAATGATGGAGGAGATAAATTTGTTTACCTAAGTGTGACAATCTGTACATGTATTGAGATATCACATGGCACCCCATCTTTATGGATAGTTTTTATTTATCAATTAAAAATAGGCCTAAATAATGGAGCTAGAAAACATCATATTGAGTGAGGTAACCCAGACTCAAAAAGTACAGTATCACATGTACTCACTCATAAGTGGTCTTTAAACATAAAGCAAAGAAAACCAGCCTACAAATCATAATCTCAGAGAACCTAGACAACAATGAGAACCCCAAGAGAAACATACATAAATCTAATCTACATGGGGCGTAGAAAAAGACAAGCTTTCCTGAGTAAATTGGGAACATGGGGATCATGGGAGAGGGTTAAAGGGGAGAGGAGAGGCAGGGAGGAGAGCAGAGAAAAATGTATAGCTCAATAAAATAAAATTTAAAAAAGACCTAAATTCATTTTTAAAGAACAGTGAAAATTATAAGTATGTTAAATGCCTTCAGATCTAAATTTTAATATGTAAAGTATTTTCACCTTGATTATTGCTCTATAGGAGAATAAGATAAGATTCAAGAATCATTCAGGAATCACATATATTGTTCTTGACTAATTGACTGTTAAAAATAAGTAGGAATATAAGAAATAATGCACCAGCACTTGCAAAGCAAAATTTGGAATTTTTAGGCTGATATTCTAGGTCTACCAACTCCCTTTATAAGTTTTCATTTCCTGTCTGTTCTTTGACTCTTTCCTAAGGTCAAGCCTCCTTAACTTCCTAAGACAGTTAATTTACTTTTTCATGTATATGTCTTACCAGGTATCACCTACTCATAATGTTTTCTCACTTGCCAGTTTCTGAGTTCATCCCCTCCTTTATAATATATAATACTACATATTTTCATCTGTAGAGCCTATTTTCTCTTTTCCTCCCATTCCTTAACAAAGTCTTCCTTGGTCAAATTTGTCACTTCCACTTGAACCCTTCTTGATTTTAATGGTTTCCTTATTTGTCAACTGTGCTTTGTCTTCCAGATTGTTTTATGTGTATATTGCCTATGTGTATGGCTAATCAAAATAGAATATTATGAATGATACTGTTATTAGTAAATAATCTAACAGTTATTTTTCTGGCTATCTTGGAGAGTCCCATTCTTTTTTAAACCAACGATGGACTTTTCAGATGAAGTAAAGTCCAGGGACTATATGTTGAATTATTTTGTAAGACCTAAATTAGATACAGTCATATATTTTAATAACTTTCCTTATGTTCACTTTTAGTGACTGTGGAGTTTTTTTTATAATAAATTAGCACTACCATATTTAAAATCTCTGTTGACCTTACATGTTGACTGTAGTACCACTGGTTTATATAATATATGCTATAAAACTGAATCAAAAATATATAACTCATTAAGAGGTCATTTGCAGTGATTATGATTACAAGAGAAAGAAATTTATACTTTTTCCCTCTATTTTTCTCTTATTTTAATAATAATATTCTTTGGTTTTACTATAAGAAGTAATGTTTTCTGTAGAAAGCAGATAATATTGCATAGTGTTTAGGAATATGGAGTTGAAGTCTGCCTTAGTTGCCATCACTGTTCTTATGGGGATTATTTAAGCTTCTTAAACATCATCTTCAAAACTTGAATAAAACCTGTTTTACAAGTTTGCTTTAAGTAGTACCTGAGACCTGTGAAATTGCAGATGAACCATCCCTGACACTTAGTAAGTTCTTCCTGAGCAGCTATTACAGTGAAAATTTGCTTCTTTGAAGAGGAGATTGAGACTCTCATTAAGTAGTCCAGAAGTGAAACTTAGGTCAGAATCACTGTACACAGAAGGCTTACCCATGAGAACATACTGAATAAGCAGCGCATATTTTGGATATGTGTCTGTACAGAAAAGAGAATTAATGCAATAAAAATGCATAGGTGTTCACAGTGTTTAAGGAAATTAAAGTATCTTGTGACATACAAAGGAAACCATTTTCCTTTATTTTGGTGTTTTTTTTTTTTTTTAAATATTTATTTATTTATTATGTATACAATATTTGTCTGTGTGTATGTCTGCAGGCCAGAAGAGGGCACCAGACCTCATTACAGATGGTTGTGAGCCACCATGTGGTTGCCGGGAATTGAACTCAGGAACTTTGGAAGAGCAGGCAATGCTCTTAACCACTGAGCCATCTCTCCAGCCCCCTATTTTGGTGTTTTGTGTTTACTGTTTCTCCAGTGCGTATGTGTTAAAATTGGCTGTCATGCAAAAGTTTTGAGTATACAAGAACATTAGGAATCTCTGCTACTTATGAATCATCTTCCTTTTCATTTTGGCAGTGCTGGGGTCACACCCAGGAGTTGTGCATGTAGGCAAGCACTGTGCCAAGTTACATGCTATGCAAGGACTGTACACTGAGCCATATCCTTACCCTTTTCCTAAAGTGAAGGACCTTCTGTAACTCGCGGTCGTAACTAGCCTTCCAATTATGTGGTAGGCTTTGAGTAACAAGTTTTCTTAAATGTGCACCTAGATTGTGTTAGATTTGTAGTTTGAAGAGAAAGAATCTAAGCCATTAAAAAATACAAATTTGTTTTCCATTTTTAGTTTTACTAATTCTGGTTACACTTGTATCTGTTTTCTTTTTTGTTTTAGGAATAATTGATTTTGTATGCTTTTTTTTTAAAAAAAAAAGTTACCATTTACTTTTTAAACCCTTTCCTTTTGCTTTTTATTTCAGATCAATAAATGGACTGGGAAAAGTTTTAGAAACTCAAAGATCAAGGTACTTTTTAAAGTATTACTAGGACTGGAGGTATATATCAGTTGTAAGGTTGTTACCTAACATGCATAAGACCCTGGAGTTGACTGTATCACTGCATTAACCATGCATAGTGCACATGCCTATACACTCAGTACTTTGGATGTATAGGCAGGAGACTAGAAGTTAAGGTCATCCTTGACTGTGTAGGAAGTTCAAGGATAGGCTGGGCTACCTGAGGAGGGAGGAAGAAAAGGAAAAAGATCTATTACTAATATCAACAACAAATAACAGCCTTTGGTTGTTAAAAATTGATAAGTAACTTGATTATAATATAATAAAGACATAGATGCAGACCTAAAAGTTGTCTGGATGCTCTTTACAAATTAGTTTGCTGTATTTAGTTAGTACTTTTACTAAGAACTACAGAGCTATGATAAATAAATCTGGAAAAGCATATTCAGGAATTTTAACGTAAGGCCTTTAAATAGGTTTTTAGTACTTGAAAATCTTAGTGTTGCAAAAAACTGCAATAGGAGCTGGGCGGTGGTGGCGCACGCCTTTAATCCCAGCACTTGGGAGGCAGAGGCAGGCGGATCTCTGTGAGTTCGAGACCAGCCTGGTCTACAAGAGCTAGTTCCAGGACAGGCTCCAAAACCACAGAGAAACCCTGTCTTGAAAAACCAAAAAAAAAAAAAAAAAAAAAAAACTGCAATAAGAATACTGTAGTAGGAGCAGTGGGCCTGCTTTTCATCCCGCCCAGCTCCTGGCTGCCTGGCTAGCTTATACCCCAAAATAACAACACACAAATTATATTCATTTAAACACTGCCTGGCCCATTATATCTAGCCTCTTCTTGGCTAACTCTCACATCTCGACTAACCCATTTCTAATAATGTGGGCAGTACCACGAGGCAGTAGCTTACCTGGAAGGATTCTAGTCTACGTCCATCTTGGGCCAGAGCTTCATTGCGTCTGGCTCCATGGCATCTGACCTCACTTCCCTTCTTCCCAGCATTCTGTTCTGTCTACTCCTCCCACCTAAGGGCTGGCCTATTAAATGGGCCAAGGCAGTTTCTTTATTAATCAATGAAAGTAACTCCTCCATCAGAATACATGGATTTTTGTAATGTTTAATTTCTTAATGCATCCCTTTATTTACATCTTCTATAGCTTCTTCTTGTAGTTCTGTTCATAAATATTTGCATAATCTTCTGAAATAGTTGTACTCTTTAAAAAAAACCCTCTGTGAACTATACTTTTGTAGATTGAACTGTTTTCCATTGACTGCTGTCATGATTTCAGAAAACTTCAGTGTAAGAGTATTTTGTTACGCTAATATTGGGGACAAGAATGGCTTAGTAGACAGTAGACCCCTCTGAGACTCACAGCTGGCAGCCTAGTGCCACCCAGCCTGTAGCTGAGAGTCTTCTATTGTCTAATGCAGAAGAAGCCTTAGCTGAGTGGCTTGCTGCAATAGCACAGATTCGAGGTGCTGACAGACTGACAAAAGTGTGAGGCAGTAATAGCAGCAGCTGCTCTGAGCATGTGTGCAGCTGGAGATTTAATTTGGTATGCATCTGCAGGAGCCACAAATGCCTTTGGTGTGATCCCTCTACAGGCACTGTGCAAGCAAATGGGCTCCCAGATTTTTCGACTCTACTACAGAAACATGATAATCTAACACAAACTCAGAGCCGTTCCTCATATGTCTTCTTCCTATCTTAGCCTGTATTTGTTTTCTCCCTGATTTGCTTTCCTTTATAAATGACAGACGTTTTCATAACCCTTAAATTAGCTTTAAGAATCATACTTCTCAAAAAAATTTATTTATTTATTAAAGATTTCTGCCTCCTTCCCACCACCGCCTCCCATTTCCCTCCCCCTCCCCCAATCAAGTCCCCCTCCCTCGTCAGCCCAAAGAGCAATCAGGGTTCCCTGCCCTGTGGGAAGTCCAAGGACCTCCCACCTCCATCCAGGTCTAGTAAGGTGAGCATCCAAACTGCCTAGGCTCCCACAAAGCCAGTACGTGCAGTAGGATCAAAAACCCATTGCCATTGTTCTTGAGTTCTCAGTAGTCCTCACTGTCCGCTATGTTCAGCGAATCCGGTTTTATCCCATGCTTTTTCAGACCCAGGCCAGCTGGCCTTGGTGAGTTCCCGATAGAACATCCCCATTGTAAGAATCATACTTATCAGTAACTGTGTTTCTGTTGTGACAGCATGTATTTAGTTCGTATTTTCTCTATTTCCACTTCGAGATGATCCTTGTTCTAAATAAAGTTCATTCTGGATTTGCTTATTATGTAATGGTTTCATTCATCATATAGTTTTAGAATTTGCTCCCTTATAAGAATATTAATCATGCAGTGTTTATTACTTAAGAATGAGGGTGCAAGTGAAGAAAATCTTTATCTTCTCATTCTTAACGATCTGTTTTTTGGCAGTGGATCTGAGACTTTGTCCTTGCTGGGAACACTGGAGTTAAGTTAGAGACCTTTTCCATGAAGATCAGCTATAAATAGGAGTCTTATTATTGGGTCATGAATCTTACATTAAGTATTTCCCCAAATTTCTTGAGACAGACAACAACTTGGGCTTCCCAATTTAGAAGCTAGAGAGTTAGTTCTTACAAAATAATTGGAGTGGTTTTTTTGTTGTTGTTTTTTTTGTTGTTGTTGTTTTTAAGCATTTTAATCCCATTAGTATTTTGAGGATGACAAAAGCAGGCAAAAGTGAAAGTGCTATAAACATGCATAAGCAAAGGCTCACCTTAACTTTGTGAAATGGAAGTAAAAATCATGTGTGGTGCTTTCTTATTAGTGTTTAAGCGGATTGGCCAGCAAATACAAGTTCTAATGACTGCGTAGACTTCTGACGTAGGAGCAGATAGATAGAAGGCATGCATTCTTATCTTTTCTGTACCTTTTAAAATTTTAGAGATTCAAGTGAATTGAATAGAGGAGCATCAAAATGCATCTGGTCAGTAATAAGTTAACCATTTCAGCTTTCCATTGATTCCAGGCACATTAGGGTGCATTCAAGAACTAAGCCACAGGGAAGACAAAAGTACTTTTAAGACACTGGGTGGATCAGTCATTTGGAAAAACTGAGAAGTGAACAAGCAAAAAAACAACATCTTAGATATCTTCTTACTATGTCACAATAGAAATATTGACTGCACAGAGTTCTGTAAGAATAAGAAGGCAGAAAAATGACCAAATTTTCTTGATGAAGAGTCAGGAAAACTTGTTTAGAAAAATGATTTGACTAGAGTCTTAAACAGTGAATGGATTTTTTTCTTTTTCAGAACACCTGGAATACAGGTGATTTTTTTCCCCCAGGGGTATAGAAGCCTTACTATTTCAGGGATGATATTTTAGAATGACTAGGACACATGGCTGCATGTAGCTAAGAGGAAAGGTATGTGAGTCTTCCACAAAGACCATGAATGCCATGATACATAGGATTTTTCTCCTGGTGGCAAGAAAGAGGCTCTGCAAGATTTAAAACTAAGAGACACTTGAGGGGTGGACTCTCTCTGGTCTGGTCTCTGAAGTTTAGGGCATACAGGAAGATTAGAAAAACTTGGGTGGAGTGGGATGGGTGTGGGCTTAGAGAAGTTAATGAGAACACTTGGAAACTTAGTGCTAGAGTTTAGCTCCAAGCTTTTGGAAATAAGCTGAACCCTTGGAGAGACTCACTGAATTTGGAAAGGTGGCCTTTAGGCAGTGTCCCTAAAGTTCTCCCACAGCTTCAGGCTGTGTAAGACAATAGAAGAATGAACTTTTGAAGATTTTTTTCCCTTTGATTTATTTTCCTATTTAATTTAAAATGATGATGGTCTTTTGATCTTACTGTTTGAATGTCTGGGAAAATATCTGATGCTTTTATTTCTGAAGGAAGAAATTAAATGAACACATTTAACACCATGAAAATTTTTCTAGACATGTTTTAAATGAGAATAGACTTTCTTCTCCAAGGTAGTGCTAGTTTGGGGAAAAGTTCATAAAACTTAAGTGTGGAAGCTTATGCCTTATCCCCTTATACTGACCATTAAGAATTTGCTGAGAGACTCTGATACTTTATTATTATTCTGTTGTTGGTCCTTTCATTCTTAGAAGTAAGTACCTAAAGGATCTGCTATAAAGCAGAGTTCTCTAAATGGTAGTGTTTTCAAGGACACTGTTGCAGTGGGGCAGTGGTGTATTTCGAAGGTTTTTTTTTTTAAACACAGTACTGCATATTCACAGAATTGGCACATACAGACTTCCCTTGAAACTATTTGCCTCAGTGGTGATGATAATCTTGGGGTGGTTTTAACCTGTCTTTATAAATATTTGTTTAACTGTTAATGGAAAAGGAAGTATGTTTAATGCTAGGATTTTGATCCCTTGGTGTAAATTAATACTCAAAAATGTCTTCATTCTCAGAATATTTGCTTCCTTGCCTGATCATTTTTCTGGCTCAGAACACCCAGCATGTTCCATATTTGAAGTATTGATATATAGTATATTAACATAGAGTAGTTTAATAAGATGGGAATTTTGTTTGTCTATGCCAAGATAAGCTTTCATAACCTTGCCGTGCACTGAGTGTGCGGCTGTTTGCTGCTAGTGAACAAGGCCAGGCACAGCTGGCCAGTTCTGAGCTAAAGGAAGTGTTTTATCTTAACATTTGTATGCTTAATCAGACATATGGAATGTGACAAATGAACTTTGTTTTCCATGTAGAAATGTCTGACAGGCTGCTTGGGTCTAGTGTTGAAATGTAATTGTACTTTTGATTGTAGTTTTGTGTTCTTTTAAATATTCCCTTCATTTTAGTTTAATTATAAAGTCACTGTTCTCTGCTCTTCCTTGTACTAATGTTAAAACAGAAAATCAGTCATCCATTTTCGTAAATTTACTTCTATGTATTTAAACCAAACCAAGTGCTGGTTGTGGTTGATTCTTAGTGATTTGAATCACTGCATTTATAATAAGGTTCAGTCATCAATAATTTTCCAGAGAAAGCGTTTGTTCTGACAGCATTGTGAACTGAGAAGCTTCACTCTACTTGAGCCCTCATTCTGAACAAGTAAAATCAAACATGTGGTTCCAGAGGGAGCTAATATTAATTCACAATCTGGTGGTTTGACTCCTTTTGGTTTTATTTTGTTGATACTTAAGATTGATTCCAGAGCCTTACACATGCATTGTCAAAGTGCTGTTCTTCCAGCCCCAGAGTTCTAACATCCCCAACCCCCACCAGACAGTCTCACAATGTAGCTGTCCTGAAACTCATTATGTAGACCAGGCTGGTATCAAAGACACAGAGATACACCTGCTTTTGCCTCCCAAATGCTGGGATTAAAGGTGTGTACCACCATGCTCAGCTTTAGAGTTCTAGTATTTTTTTATAATTTATTTTTGATTTTGTATACATTGGTGTTTCTTTCTTTTTTAAATTATTTTTATGGAACTATACCTTTTTCTCCACTCCTCTCCTCTCCTAGCCTCTCCTGTTAGCCCCACGCTCCTAATTTACTCAGGAGATCCTATCTTTTTCACCTTCCTATGTAGATCCATGTATGTCTCTCTTAGGTCTTCTTTGTTGTCTAGGTTCTCTGGGGTTGTGGACTGTAGGTTGGTTTTCTTTGCTTTGTATTTTATGTACATTGATGTTTCGTCTGCATATGTATTTGTGTAAGGGTATTGGATGCTCTAGAAGAGGAGGTACGGATAGTTGTGAGCTGCCATGTGGGTGGTGGGAATTGAACCTATGTCCTCTAGAAGAGCAGCCAGTGCCTTTAACTGCTGAGCCTCATATTTTTATATTAACTCACCAGCCCTAGTATTTTTCTATTACATATTTAACATAGAGAAGTTGTAAAAGAATTAGGAAAATCCCAAAGGCTTTTGGAATGTGTACAAACTATTATGCCTTTGTTACTTCTTTTATTTCACATTTGGGGTAATAGCTGCTTAGAAAAGGTTATTTAGATAATTTTTAACTCTGAAAGTATTTTAAAGCATATAGAGTTATAACTGAAGGACAATCAGAAGTGGAAAGAAAACTTTTTTTGGAGCAGTAACAAGTTTTTGTTTGTTTGTTTGTTTTGTTTTTGGCCTGATCTTTACCATTCAGCTACTTTTAGAAATTTTAGGTAGACTTCTTTTACCATCTCTCTTTTTTTTCTTTCCTTTCATTTAATGTTTCTCCCTAAGTATAATATGTAGTTTTAAAAAAGATTTGTTTATTCTTATTTTGTGTGTTTGATCGTTTTGCCTGCATGTTTGTGTACCATGTTTGTGCCTAATACCCATGGAGGTCTGAAGAGGGCATTAGAACTCCTGATACTGGAGTTTCAGGCAGTTCTAAGCCACCAAGAAGGTGCTGAGATGCAAACCTAGGCCCTCTGTAAGAGCAGCAAATGCTTTTAAACATTTAGCTCTCTCCAACCCCCAAGGCTGACTAGTTTCTATGCTTACATATTTTGATTAAAAGTCCTTAGAGATTTTTCTTTTTGAGACAGGGACTCATATAGCCCAGGCCTTGAACTCACTATTGTAGCCAAGGATGTCCTTGAGCTTCTAATCCCTTTATCTAACTCCTAAATACTGTTGCCCAATTTGAAATTCTATTCTTGATGAATTGCATGTATTTTATAAAATTTTCAACTATTTAAATGCATTTTCTTCCTTTTAGAGTTCATCTCTCAAATATATTAGATCTACATGCCTATGATAGTCTCTCTGGAATAAGGTATGTTTTCAATATTTTGGTTATTTTTATGTAAACTTTTTTATTGTTTCCCATTATTTAGATGCCATTTCTTAGACATACAAGTTTGCTCTTTACTTTCTGAATAAAAAGAAAGTCTTACTTTGTAGCTTAAGCTGATCTTTAACCTTGTGATCCGCTGCCTCAGCCTCCCAACTTCTAAGATACAGGCATGCACCAACACTCTTGGCTCAAAAGACCATTTCTAATTATGATCATGGAAGCTGGCTCTACATAATTATAATGTAAATGGTAATGTATCCTGGAAATCACCAGTATTTCTGTGCTGGCCATTATAATACTCTAAAAAAAATTGTAAAATACAGAAAAAAATCTGAGTGCTCTCATAGACTACTTCTTTCCCTTTGGTAATAGATCAATTTTCTGTCTCCTTTTGGAGGGATCTTTATGATAAGAGATGGAAAAAGTTTATTCTTAGACATCAGTGTTTTGTTATTCTTATTTTATTTTGCTTTGTTTTGAGACAGGATTTTGCTACATATAGCTTTGGCTGGCTTGGAACTTGCTGTGTAGACCAGACCAACGGGCCTGAACTTGCGTAGATCTGCCTGCCTCTGCCTCTGGTATACTGGAATTGGAGGCATGTGCCAATGCATTCAACTCAGTTCTTTATTTACTTTTCTAATTGTACTAAGAATATATAACATAAGATCTTTCATAACAGATTTTTTAAATTATAATACAGGATTATTAATTTTAGACATGATGATATATAACACAGACTTGTAAAACTTGTTGAATGGTATGTCCTTGTCTTTCCTTCCTGGAAACCAATCTATTCAAGTGCCTGCTTCTGTGGGCTGTGTTATTTTGTCCTTCAGTGACAGGACAGGACAGGACCCCCCTTTTTTTGTGTGGGTTCAGTTTCACCATTGGAAGGTTAAAAGTATAAAATTCCCCTTGATGATTCAAGACAAAAAATGAAATCAGAGCTCATTAGAGAGACCCAAAGGCAGAGGCCTGCACGGACTCTTTTTACAGTGCGCTTATATATACACAGACATGCACTGACATATACACAGACATGCTTATACACAAAGGCAGAGGCCTGCACGGACTCTTTTTACAGTGCACTTACATATACACACATGCAAATACACAAAGAGCACACATTTCTTTGTTCATCTAAAAATAAACATTTAAGTTGTTTCCACATTTTAGCTCTTGTAAACAACGTTATAGTATCTTTTTGTGTCTACTCAATATCATGAAAATAGATTCTTCTCTGAGTATTTTTAATTAGTAAGGCTGTTATTTTTATGAGTAGGCATAGTGAGTGGCTCGGTACTTGTGAGCTTCAAGTAGGCATCCGGTCCTCCACATTTTTACTATTGTGCACTCTTTGAAACAGCTTCTGAAGTAACCCATGAGGATATGACATGGTGTTTTAATGGACCTCTTTATCTTATAGAGAATTTTAATTCCCATTTACTGTGATTTTTAAAAGTGGAACTACTTTAGTGCCTAGAAGTGTGGACTATGCAAGACAACTGTTTCCTCATGTTTTAAATTAAAATCCAGAGAGGTGGATTTTTCATCTCCTAAGTCAAGGGCTAGAACTAGCCATTCTAGAAGTTAAGTCATTAATAAAGAGCTGCTTTTACTCACTGCCTCTGTGTTGGACTTTCAGAGTAACTAACTCAGTGACAAATGAAAATACTGCTGCTGTGAATACATCTGTGTTTGCTTTTCTTGGTCTATTCCGTAGGAAGATAGGAGTGTCTGGTGCATGTGAATCATGAGTGTGTGTTCATTTAAATACATTCCTATGGAGATGATATGATCAGAGCACCTGATTGCTGCTTTCCACAGGGTGAAGTTTTCCTGGCCCATTTTCCTGCTGTACATTTTGAGTACTCAAGAGTTTTTATACTTAATGATGAATGCATATGGAATATGAAAATCATTAGGAATTGCATTGATTATTTTTCACACAAAAGATTCTGATAATGAATTTCAGGTTTTAGTAGAATATGCTTGTCTGCTATACTAGAGTACAGTTTCTTTTCTTTGTTATTAAGACAGACAATTCTGGGACTTATAGGAACTAACCCTAAAGGTTCCTTGTTAATCTTTTTGACTTTTACTTGGATGTGAAGTTGTATGTACTCACTGTCTGGCAACACTGAAACCTGATTTTCCTACAATTTTCTGATCTTATTTGACTTTTGATTAAGAGCAGTTGTAATATTTTAGCAATACCAAAAAGAGTATGTATGTGATGTTGTCCTCCAATTGTAGATAGACCTTTGCCTGGCTTCTTTTTGCTTAGCTGTTTCAATAGGAGAATCCAGCCCCGGGCAACCAGCTGGGAAGGATTTAATTTGACACTTTCCCTACTAAGCCCGCCCCCCCCAGTGTGAGTCATTCCTTCCACGATGGTTCCTACAGCCTAGACTTGCTGTTACTAATTCACCCCTCACTGTGCTTCAAGAAAGAACACCTGCAAGACTTTAAGTCCCTCCCCTCCCTCTGCCCTGTCACCATCACTGTCTAAATGTGTGCTCCAGTTGTTATGGTGGTAATTTGTTCTGCAATCTTATGGCTCTTCTCATAACAGAACAGTGCATTCTTAAGATTCTGACTGCTTTTTTTTAATTTTAAAGTCAGGGTCTCACTATGTAACTCTGACTGTCCTGAAACTCACTATGTAGTCCAGGCTGACTTCCAACTCTGGCTCCTGAGTGCTAGATTAACGGGTACATCACTATGCCTGGCTTCATTTTTTTCTTAACTGGTAACTGATTATATAGGAAATTTGTACTTGGATTCTTTTTGTCTTTTAATAATATATATGTATATCCAGTGGAAACCTTTAACAAAGGAAAGTTTACATTTCTAACTTTTTAAAGCTACCAACATATTTTCATATCAAGGAAACTTGGAGCACTACAGAATGGCCATGCCTGTGTTCCCAAGCCTGTTGAAATTATTGTATTAACCTACTAGAATTATAAAGAAAACTACTGACATATTTAGCAACAGAATATTGCTAAAATAGTAGTTTTTCCCTTCATTGAATCATACTTATGATGTGATTGGGTGTGCATTCAAAAGATTTTTTTATATCTTAGATCTGTCAGCTTTTCTCTACATATATCTTAGATCTCTCAGTTGTTCTATACAAATATTGTATATATGTATAAATTTAGACTGTTCAAAGAGTGGGTAAATTGGAACTTTGTGATAGATTTGATTATAAAATGTTTGTTCCTTAATTAGCCTTGTGTCTCTGAGTAATGGATAATATTAAATCGGAAATATGATGATCTTTGAATCGGTAATTGGTTGTTCTTAGTTTACAGAAAAAACTTCAGCATGTGCCAACAGCACCCCACCTTGATCAGGTAAAATTAAAATTTTATAAAATTTAAAGTGTTTCTTTCAATTTCAGTTCTACTTAGGGTACTTCTTGTTAGATCTCTTTCTAAAATACTATTTATAGCTTAGGTTGGCAGTGTTGATAGTTTTACATGTCTTTAGGGGTATGTAATCTAGTTTAGCATGAGAATTTGTTCTGTGTTAGGAAACATTCTAATCCTCATGTTTGCTGATATTTTATAAAATTCTGTATTCAAACTTATTTTGAGGAGAATTTCTACCTAAACGAAACCTGGAGATTTTTTCTGCTTTCTGCTTAAACTGTCTTTAACTAATTGATTAGGGACAGTAAAGGATGGCCTATTTAAATAAAAACTCACCTTGAATTTTACTTTCAGTAGCACTGTAAATTTGAACTCTAGTTTTTGTGATTACTGAGGGTGATATTTAAGATGCTAGGGACAAAGTAAGTATGTTTTCTTTAAACCGTGTTTCTCCTAAGCAAGTCCTGGAGGGCAGAACTTTAGAGTAACTCCGTGATTTCATTTAAAGCAGTGAGAGGACTTGTGCTGAGCCGTGTGCCTGGCTCCTCTGTCTGGAAGTTGTGACTGACTTCTCAGGTCTTCATCGCTTGTGACGGGGCCAGGATAGCAACAGCCACTTGTACGTTTGTCGTCATTTGGCTCATGTTCCTAGGGGGCTGTACCACCATGTGCATGGCATAGTTCTCAGAGAATATGGCTCATTACCTCTAAAATGACTAAGTGAGAGAAATAGTAAGTCCTTGGCAGTGGAATTTTAGGGGAAATTAAGTGTAGATGGCATTTAGTAGCACTCCTAGGATGAAGTTTAAGCACATATTACTGAACTTCTGGGTTCAAGATATTACATTAGGAATCTGGGATTTAAAGATGAAGAAAATGGAGTCCTCACAAGAACCTTTATGATGGCCAGTATCTATAGTCATGGTGCCCTGAATACACCCCATGATGGTATTTGTAACATCATGCAATGTGATTTGAAACACTTCCCCATTGAAAATAATTGTACATTGCATAGCACAGGATTTGATATTTAATAGCATCTCAGTGAGCTCTTTTTCATCTTCCTCTCGGAGAGGCAGCTTTGCTTCTGCCTCTCTCCCCAATTTTCTGCTTCCCCCCTTCTCTGTCTCTTTCTCCTCTTCTCTCTCTCTCTCTCTCCCTCTCTCTCTGTCCCCCCTTCTCCCTTCCTCCTCCATAACCCCCTGAATAAACATTCAACCTCAAAAAAAAAAAATAGCATCTCAGTGAATATTTGTCAAAGGAATGAAAAGCTGAGATGCTCCAACAGCGGTGTGATTCAGGATCACTTACGGAGCATCCTGCCTTCCTACCTTTCTGCCCTTCTTGCTGTCCGAATTCAGATACTCCATAGTTCCTCCAGAAGTAAAGCTTAGAAATAGGAATATTAATCATAGCTTAACTTTTTATTATGAATATTTTCAGTGTTATGCAAAAGGAAAGAGACTAAAATGGGTCTCTTTATACATCAGTTTAAAAGTTATCAACGTTTTGCCAATTTTAATTCATCCATCTTCCCAATATTCCTTTGCTGAAGTTCGAAACGTATATTTTTAAATAGTAAATTTCAGACAGTAGAATGGCGTAAAGAACCTGTACAGACTTACGACTCCTGCTACAGCATGTTAACGCAAATCCCAGACGTTACGTCATTTTTCCAGTAAATAGGGCATGTCTGTTTTTGTTAAAACTCAACGTGAGTTTCTGATATACTGCCCTGCTTTAAACGCATAAACATAGGGCAAAGGAATATTCCAGAGAAAGGGATCTAGGATTCAAGCATGAACCTTTTTGTTGGTTTAATGGATCAGAGTTACAGAGAAGGAACTGCATTTCTTCTTCACTCATTGGCAAGTTCAGGGCTGAAGACTTCATCACAAGACAGATTAGCAAGAAGAAAGCATACAGTTTTTAACTTGTTAGTTTTTATGATATGGAAGACTTCATAATGAAATCATTAAGAATCGGTTAAACCTGAATGTTTCTGTGTTAGGTTTGATTAAAAACAAAGAGTTGTAGAGAACTAAGATAGGGAAAGAATATGGCCTAACAATACTAATTTGGAAGATTTAGCAAAAGTTTATTTGTTTAGAATCTTCTTTGTGACTTTATCTTCGGACATAAGTATAGTGTCCATTCATTGCTCCAGGGATTTGGACCTTACTGGGGTATGAGGGAATGAAGAAAAGACAGACACAGTCAGAAAAAAAAAAAAAAACCACACACACACACACACACAGAAAAGCTGAGATTGGGTGGTCTGGGCTCTTGACTGAAAAAACTTCAGCAGGTGAGAAGCACAGGGTTTATTTTATAGAGTTGAGCAGAATTTATGGTATATAGCATGACCAAGGAGACATGTTTAGCTAATTTTGGTAGGCATGATCTCTGTAGGGAAGCAGACTTGAGACTATAAATATCTGGTTAGTGGTATATATTCTCTGCATATACTGTCAACACCTGCATTTGGTCCCCCAAAGAAGGCTTTGCCATTCATCTGAACCTGAGGCTATACCTTGACATGGCTGTGCGTATGTCAACAACACATATTCACTCAAGACTTCCCCCTTTCCCTACAATAAGGTTGCTGTTTTCTTGGTACTTCTCACATGAGTATCTTAAGATCTGTTACAGGGAAAGCACAGAAAAGCAGTCCTATGTTTATGGCCTGTTTCAGAGAAAGGGGGAAAAGGTGGGGTGGGTAGAGTGGGTGAGCTGGTTTTCCTGCTTTTGTTTTTCAAATGCCAAAGTGCTACATTTTGATCTAGAATATCGTACTGCTTACTTTTCTTGTTGCTTTAACAAAACACCTGACCTGAGCAACTTAAAGAAGGAAGGATTGGTTTGGCTTACAGTTTGAGGTGTGGAAGTATTGGCAGCAGGAGCCTGCACTAACTGGTCACATTGCATCTGCAGTCAGGAAAGGCAGAGAGATGGATGCTGGTGTTCAGTTTGTTCTATCCTTTTCCTTCCTTTAAGACCCTAGCCTGTGGAGAAGTACTGGCATATTCAGGGCGGATCTTTCACCACTTAAACCTTTTCTGGAAACACGCTTAATTATTTAAATAATTTTTTAAAATTTTATTTTATTTTATGTGCATTGGTGTTTTGTCTGTATGTTTATCTGTGTGAGGGTGTCAGATCCCTGGTACTAGAGCCACAGAAAGTATTGAGCTGCCACATCAGTGCTAGGAATTGAACCCAGGTCTTTTGGAACAACAACCAGTGTTCTTAAGCATGAATCCAACTCTCCAGCCCCTCCATAGTGTTTCTAAATCAGGTCAAATGACAATGAAGGTTAACTGTTACATCTAACCTTAACCTTATCAAAAACTTTAGGAAAGATGGTTTTTTCATATAAAGTAAATGATTCAGGTTTTAGTGTGTAATTCAGCATTATTTGTGTATACACACACACATTCGTCCATGTGTACAAATCTACTCAGGTCAATATAATAAGTGTATCTAAAAATGTATAGAAGTTCTGTATGCACCTTCTGGTCAGAGAATGGACAGTTGCCATTTTGACTTGAATACTAAAGAGAATTTTGAACTAGTTAGGGTTTTGTTGACTGTTTGCTTTAGTAGATACAGTGGAAGGGGAAAGCCAACAGTTTCACTATTGGAAAGTGAGCACATAGTCCCAGAGAAGCAGGCTTTTAGTGCAGAAGTCTTTTTAGATGACTGGAACTGGAAATTTGTTCTCAGGTGTAGTAATAGGGGCGGCGGGGCTGCGTTCCCAGCACCCCGGCCGCCTGCTCGGCTAGCTTATGCCCCAAAATAATTACACAGACACTGTATTCTTTTAAGCACTGCTTGGCCCTTTAGCTCTAGCACTTACAGGCTAATTCTCACATCCCGATCAACCCATCTCTAATAATCTGTGAGAACCGGTCTTACCGGGAAGATTCTAGCCTAGTCCATCCTGGGTCGGAGCTTCATGCTGGGAGCGGGGCATGGCGTCTCTCTCTCAGGCGTCTGCTCCCGAGAGAGCTGTGGAGTCTCTGAGCTCACTTCCTCTTCCTCCCAGTATCCTGTTCTGTTTTCTCCTCCCACCTATCTTCTAACCAATAAAATGGGCCAGGGCAGTTCCTTTATTAGCCAATGACCTTCCTCCATCACTCAGGTATTGAGGTATAATGTGTAAGGCAAAGAAGGCTCACACTGATGTGCTAGAGAAGCAGGACTTGCCTTTGGGATCTGGAGACCAAGCATGAAGATGCTATACCATGGAACAAATACCTGCAGTAGAAACGGGGTAAACGGTGATCTCTCTGTGTTTGGATTGGTAAGAAGAGGAGGAGTGATGGAAAATGTAAACTAGCTAGAGGAGCCTAGACAGCTCTAGGAGCATCTGGAGGACAGAGATTTGAATGAGAATGCCACGTGCTGGGGGCTGGAGAGATGGCTCAGAGGTTAAGAGCACTGACTGCTCTTCCAGAGGTCCTGAGTTCAATTCCAAGCAACCACATGGTGGCTCACAACCTTCTGTACTGAAATCTGGTGCCCTCCTCTGGCATGCGGGCAAACATCGGGACAGAATGTTGTATACATAATAAATAAATCTTTAAAAAGAAAAAAGAATGCCACATGCTCTGCTGGGCATTTGGAGGCAGAAGATACCGCAGAGGCAAAGAACAGTAAAGGGCTGGAGCGTTGGAGACAGGTATTTGACTGCATTGCTGAGCTTGGTTTTCCAGATAAAGAAATCGTGTAAAAGTTATTTACATAGGCTATAAAACTGATAATCTAGTGAGTTAACTGGGAAAATAAGCCAAGTCAACAAACCAGAGTTACTGTTAATTTTATTTTAGAGGATTTCTTTATTAGGCTTTAGTTGTCCTGAATTATTGCCTCATTTTTCTGCTTTTGTGTTACTAGTCATGAGAAGAGACAGTTTTAGATTCCAAGCAGAAATAAATTTCAAAATCTAGTCTGAGGGTGGTAATACCTAGGATATTCTATGAGTTATTGAAGTTTTATTCCTGAGAAGTATTTACTGTAATTCACCTTTTTTATTTTGTATTATTCCTTGTTTAATCCTAAAAAGGTGAGCTGGTATGGGAATATAAATGAGAACGCCCAAGTGACAGCCTATGGCTAGTTTTATTTATAGAGGCAATTTTGAATTTTGAGTTTTTACTACAATTTATAGCTTTCATCATTTTTGAGTTTTCCTTATATGGAAAGACTTGAACTAGTATGAAAAGCCACAGTTCCAAAGTAGAGGCATCCACCTTGAACCCTATTAGGTATTGTCTTAATTTCAAGACTCATTTGTGCCTATTGCTGGAGTAAATTATACCCTTTTAAAATAAGTAGGTAATAGCAAGGTGTTGTGTTACCCGTATTCCCAGTTCTGAGGAGGTAGATGCAGGAGTATCAACAGTTCAAAACCAGCCTGGGTTACTTGAGACAGTCTCAGAAAACAACAAATAACTGAACAAAGTCTTATCACTAACTTGCAAAAGAAAAAAAATGCTGATCATACAAGACTTTAAGCTGACAATAAAGCAGAAAGTGTACTGAATTCTGTGTTGAGACATTCTCAGTAATAAAAGCTGTTATTCAACTTGAATGAAATACACTTATATACGTTTTTGAAGACAAATTATTTTATTTTGAATCTGACATGTGTTTCATTTGGGAATCTTTTACAATTTAGCTAGATATAAGACTTCTTAATGAAGAAAATATCAGCATTTAATTTAAATTCATAATATTACTTTGAACAAAAAACCCAAATAGTTTTAAAGTAAGATATGTTTACTAAGATCTTAAAATAAGTCCTTTGTATTGTGGAAAAAAACAACAACAAAAACTCCTTAAGTTGATCTCTGTCTTGTAAAGAAATTCTAGGTGTGCAGTGTTTGTGGTGTGTGTGCTATACACAGAGCTTTGTGTCTTGTGGGACTCAAATGGACTCACTGGACAGCAGCTTCTCAGTGCTGCCCTCACAGCCCCAAGTAGCTGCCATTTTATTTTCTGATTTCTGTAAGTTTTAACTATTTTAAGCACTTAATGTGAGCGTCAATATTTGTTCTATTACTGGCTCATTTCGTCTAGCATAGCATCCTCCAAGTTTATTTGCATTTTACTATATGGCAGGATTTCCTTCCTTCCTGAGACCAAATAATAATACATTGTACGTACATATCACTTTTTAAAAAAATACTTCCTTGTTGATGAGCACTGAAGTAATTTCTAGCTTTTGGTTTAATTATTGTAACAAAATACAGGTAGAGCCCTCACAATCTATGGTTTCCATTCTGTGTAACCAACTGCAGTCCAAAATATTAAGTGGGAAAATCCCATAAATAAATAACTCACCCGTGTAAAACTGAGTAGCATTATGAATCATCTCACCATTCTGCTGTGTCCAGATTGTTGTGTGAATCATCCCATTGTCTGCTGGATCCACGCTGAATTCAGTACCTGCCCATCACTCACTGAGTTGGCACCTCTGTTGCCAGATCTACTGTAGCAATATCATAATGCTTATGTTCATGTGACCCTTGTGTTACGGAATCACATCCCAAAGTCAAGACTAATAATGTTGACAATACAGTGTGTCAAAGAGAAGCTGTAGAGTGCTTCCTTTATGTGAAAAGGTGATTTACTAAGAAAGGAGGGAAATCATATATTGAGATTGGTAAGATATCTGCTCAGAATGAATTTACTATCTGTGACATTGTGGAGGAAGAAAAAGAAACGTGTGCTAATTTTACAGTTGGATTTAAACCTGGAAGTTATAACCACAGCATGTAAGCACTTAGTTAAACTGAAAAGGCATTAGCTGTGTCTCAGTATTACCTGTAGTTTCATACAAATACTCTATTGCATGTCCCACAGATAAAGGGAAGTGCTTTAAATGCCTTACATTTTAAAGTCCAACATGCTTTTTTAAATTGACTTTACTTCTGATATTTGAGTAAGAAAGCATTCTGTTTGCATTTTGACAATATCAGAGGATTAAGTGTTAGCATATTGATTGTCCTGCACTGATCTTTAATGCTTTTAGCTAGTCTCTAAATTTGCATAAAAAACAATTCTGAAGCTGGTGGGCATGCTGATGGCACACCTGAAGCCCTAGCATGCTAAGCTTGAAACAGGGATTATGAGTTCAAAGCAAACTTGGAATTCATAGCAAGACCCTATTTCAAAACCAATGAAGCAAAAATTAAAGTAAACAACTCAGCATTTTTATGTTTTCTTCTGCAGTCTTAAGTGGTCTTCTAAAATGCTTGGGGAGATGAGCATTTCTAAGATGTTACACAGACTCACGTCCTCTGTCTTCTTGTTACAAACTTCGGAGCTTTGACTTGCGATCTCACTGTCCAGGGTGAGAGTGTTGCTTTAACAACGTGCTTAGCCTTGTGTATTTCCATTGCTGAGATGGAGGTTTGGGGTTATGTTGTTGTCAAAGGGAGGTCTGAATTTTAATTAAGTAACGAGTTAGAGGAAACTTTAAGCTTCTTTAGAGAAGACAGATCTTTTGAGATCAGGAGGAAGTATAAATCTGAATTCTGTAAGCGACTCTCCAAGGACCTAAGCCAGAAATGCCACTGCTGCCAGCCTCGCTGATAACTCCTTCTTTTCATTCATCACAGTGCTGGCTGAGACCATGCCTTTCTTTCTAAGAGAGCAGAATCACAATGTTGTTTTGAGCAGTGCTTCTGCATCAGGGTGGTTTATTCTTCTGAGCTTCATTTGTCCAACTTATAAAGGGAAACAGTCCCCACTTCCCAGGATTGCTGTGATGAGCAGAGGAAAAGATGCGATGAGCCTGGCAGAATGCACACAATGTGTGCTACCCTCCTTTTTTGCTCAGGACACTTACATGAAAGAGTTTTTGTTTGTTTCTGTTTTTAAATACTGTTGATCTACTTTGTAGAATTGATAATTCCCAAAGAGGAAAATAATGATTAATAATATTATTAGTCAGCTAAAGCTCCATAAGTATAGCTCTTTTCTCTTTTTATCTTCAAACTGGTTATAGTTTTAAAAATAGGTGGATGATTCAATAAAACTTACGGATTATTCTCTTGATTTGCAGAGTATTGTTACAGTCACATTTGAAGTACCAGGAAGTGCAAAGGAAGAGTGTCTAAATGTATTTATCCAGGTGAATGCAATTTTAACTGATTAACGATTCATGAGCTGTTTTGTTGCATAGTTGTTGCATTTGCAGTGGTTGGTCTTATGAAATTGTGTCGCCCAATACAGAATCTCCTGTGGGAAAAGAACGTGCAAGACAAGGACGGCCGCTGCATGGAGGTCATACGACTGAAGGTATAATCTGCAGTTGTCCTCACAGACTTGGCGAGAGAATCCTTTTCTTGGCTGTTATGTAAAAACCATACTTGGTTTTAAACAGAAACACTATTTTTAGTACAAATAACCTTGGTCTGCCTTCATTCTAATAATTTTCATTGCTGAAAAGGAACTTTAGAAATCACTGTTAAAACAACAATAACAAAACAGAACAACAACAACAAAATCATGGTTTATTTGCACAGCTTCATTTAGTGCTGCACCTCAAACAACCTGTGTGCCTTGGCTCATTAGCCCGGATCTCCTCTGCCAGGTGTTCCCAGCAGTTATCTGGCTTATAAGCTTGACACTGTCAAACCTGTTCTTCTTTGCACAGATTGGTCACTTAGAGAAATGCTTTATTTTTACAAGAGAGCTTCATTTAACAGAAAAGTAATGTTGAAAATTCTGCCACCGCCGAGTCTTATGTTACTTGATGCATTTGACAGACACTATAAACATTTGTCATATTTTATACAGAGGTACAAAACACTGGAATTCTTGTTCAGTTTGGAAAGCCATTCATATTACTTGACATTTGGATGTGTGTGTTTGTGTTTGTTTGTCTGAATGTGGGTGAACATAAAACACAATGTGCAGGTGGAGATCAGAGGATAACTTTGTGGGAGTCAGTTCTCTCCTTCTGTGGGTTCTGGGAATCAGACTCAGTTTGCCATGTTTTAGAGGTAAGTGCATTTACCCTCTGAGTCAGCTACCTTGCCACCCCCACATTGAACTACAGTTGAATATAATAGCTTTCAATTTGATCATTACCTAAATTAATTGTAATACATTTCCAAAACAGATTCACCGACAGAATACCTTAATTTCTCAAATTTCCTTGTTAATTTGTGAAAGAAGTACGAGACCTTTAAGGCAGAGAAGTTAGTGTGATATGATGCAATAACAGGTTTGGTCACTTTCAGTTTTTTGTTGTGATAAATAACATTGAAAAAAATCCTAATATATTAATTTTAACAGTAGAAAAAGGAATCATTGTTAGGCATGATGTACAGTCAGGCAAATGAATTTCTGCGAGTTCGAGGCCAACCTGGCCTGCATAGCAAGTTTCAGGCCACCTAGGGCTTTAGAGCAAATTCCTATCTCAATAAAACAAGACAACAAAACAGAAAAGAGAAAGTAATTCTTTATTTTCAAGAAGTAGCCAGGTGTGGTGGTGCACACCTTTAATACCAGCACTCAAGAGGTAAAGGCCGGCAGATTTCTGTGTTTGAAGCCAGCTTGGTCTACAGAGGGTATTGCAGGAGAGCCACAATGACACAGAAAATCCTGTCTTGGGAGGGGAGGTCAGTATACTCAAATTTATTAGAAGTTTTAAAAACTTAAAATAAGCAAATAATTGAATCAGGTTTTTTCCTACCTTTATTATGAGATTGTCTTTTGAAAAATAATATTTTCAAATTTGATGTATTATTTCTGCTTGCTAATTTGAGATGGAACTGAGTGATCATTGTTCTTTGAGCAGGGGCTGGTATCCATCAAAGACAAACCACAGCAAGTGATTGTGCAAGGCATCCATGAGCTGTACGACCTGGAAGAGAGCCTAGTATGTTGGAAGGATGATGCTGAGAGAAAAAGTCAGCTGGTCTTTATTGGTAAGTAACAAAACACACAACTAGGTTTGTAGGAGACATAATGTGCTATTGAACCAGTATTAACTCAATAAGCTTGTGTATTTGTCTGAATCACAGATAATGTAAGGTTTTGCTAGAACTTTGTTCTTCAGATGACTTAGAAAAGTGGTTACTTCAAGTGCTAACTTGGATTTGAGGCTTACCTAGAAAGCTGTAGAAGGAATCATGTAGTTACTGTGGACTTGGTAGATCACTAGAGAGCACCGTGCATTTAAACACTGGAAATCAAGATGCTGTTTTCGTAAGCTTCATGTAATCACTATTTTGTTTTATTCTCAGGCAAGAATTTAGATAAGGAAGTTCTTATGGAACTCTTCCTCACTGCTGTGGCAGAAACAGAAGAGCAGAGGACAGCACCTGGCAAAGATCAAGTTTGTCCATCACACTAGAAGCCATTTCTTACCAAAAGAACTGATAAGAAAAACAAGGATCAGTTTCCTACTGGATGTATTTCAATCCTGAATTCTTTCATTACCTCTGTTAGGAGTTAGGAGTGTACTTTATGATAGTATTTATTTTATAAAATACATGAGGTTTTAGTAAATCATTATAAAACATTTGATATTCATATAATAAAATATATCCTCTGAAGGGTTATTTTGAGACAATATTTCACAGCAATTCCAGAATTTTCTTTCAAGTTTAAGCATGAATACTAACAACTTATGCTTCATTATATTTGTAAAAATGTGGCAAACTTTAACATTTTCATTTTCCTTTTAAACTTCAGATAATTACAGAGATACAATGATTGTATTGATAGTAACAAAAATATTAAAACAAATGCTGTCATTGTATTTTTAAAAATATTTAATCTTTTTTGTTTGTTTTGTTCTGTTTGTTTTTTGAGACAGGGTTTCTCTGTAGCTTTGGACCCTGTCCTGGAACTTGCTCTGTAGACCAAGTTAGCCTCGAAGTCACAAAGATCTGCCTGTCTCTTCTTTCTGAGTGCTAAGATAAAAGGCATATGCCACCACGATCCAGCTTACCCTTTATTTTTATGTTATGTGTATGGGTGTTTTGCCTGCATGTATATCTGTGCACCATGTGCATCTATTGCCTAAGGAGTCTGGAAGAGGGCACTGGATCCTCTGGGACTGGAAGGTCCTTTGGAAGAGCAGCCAGCATTGACCACTGAGCCATCTCTTCAGCCCTGTTGCTATGTTTTTAATGGACTGAGTCTCTAGTGTTCCTAAAGACTTAAAGAGGAGGAAATCTGAGTCAAAGAAATTAAACTGTCTCTTAGAATCAACGCCAAACCGTACTGATAGTGTAATGATACTTCGGCTCTTTGTTCTTTGTATTATGCTTAGAAGATTATAATTGTGGAATGTTAAGCTGTAGTTTTATTGTTGGCATTAAATTCATCTTGTCTATTTTGAATTGTGTTAGTTTTCTGTATAATCTGAGAAGTAGTGAGGTGCAATACCTTTACTTACCATAACTACAGATCACTGTGTGTGTGTGTGTGTGTGTGTGTGTGTGTGTGTGTGCTCGTGCGTGAATAAACACATGTAGATCAGAGAACAACTTTTGAGTCAGTTCTCTCCCTCCACCTTGTTTTGAGACTTCTTTCTGCTACTGGGCTGTGCACACCGGCCTTTGGAACTTGTAGCCAACAACTCCCTGTCTCTGTCTCCCCTCTCACTGTGGAATTGCCAGAGCTGGAATTATAAACTCAAAAGAAGTCTGAAGTTACCAAAGGTTTATGGCATGCACTTTTACCTGTAGCTTAGCCATCTTGCTGGCCTCACAGATAACTTTAAAAAATGATTTCTAAAATTTATATATATGTATGTTCACATATGTGAACATGTGTATTGGTTCTGTGGAGACCTGAAAAAAGCATCAAGACCCCCTCAAACTGGAGTAACATACAGTTGTGGGTTGTTGTGCATGCTGGCAACTGAATTCAGGTATTCTGTACATGAATGGTAAGAGATTTATTTTTTTTCTAATTAGAAAAAAATTTATTTATGCTCTTTCCATGCATCTTATTGTCCAGGAAACATTCTTGCATGTTTCTGAACTTCTTAATACCACACAGATTGTTTAAAGGTGAAGGACCACTGGAGGAACTGACCAGCTGCCCAAATTTCTCAGACCTCAGAATCTTCTCAATTTACATTAATTCTGAAAATCTGAACTACCTTGTCCAAAAATGACTAGGGGTATGTTAGTTAAGGTTCTCTAGAGCAGGGTTCTCAACCTTCCTAACGGTGCCATTCTTTAATACAGTTCCTCATGTTGTAGTGACCCCTAACCATAAAATTATTTTCATTGCTACTTCGTAACTGTAATTTTGTTACTGTTATCAATCATAATGTAAATATCTGATTGATGTCCAGGATATCTGATAAGCCACCTCTGTACAAGAATCATTTGACTTCTCCATTTGGTTGCAGTGCACAGGTTGAGAACCACTGCTCTAGAGGCACAGAACTGATAGAATGCCAGCAATGGTTTTCTCCTGATAGGAAGACTCCTGCAGGTGTTCAGTCCACACGGCCGGATTCTCAGTTGGTCTTTAATATATTTTGGGGATCCCAAAGAAGTTGGTTCTAATACCAGCAAAGGAATGCCTCAGCAGCCGGACAGATGAACTTGCCAGAGAGAATGAGGCCAAGCAGGCAAGCAACAAAAGCTCCTTCCATGTCCTTTATTTGGACTGCCAAGAGAAGGGGAGGCCCAGGTTTAGGATGAATCTTCCGATCTCAAAGGATCCAATCAAAAATCCTTCACTGGCATACCCAACAGCTTGGGTTTTAGTTGACTCAGATGTAGTCATGTTGACAAACAAAATTAACCATCACAAAGGGGTTGTAAAAAGAATCATTTTATTCAATTTTACAGTTTTAGAAGTGGAGTATAGTTCCTTTAAGAAATAAAAAACCTAAGAAGAAAATGCTGTTAGTGTAGTTGATGCCATGGTATCTGGTACAGAATAGATCATCAGGAAAGGTGCTGCAAGGAGCTCAGATACCAAGGGGTTCCAGTCCGAACTTTAATGAGCCTGCTAGGTTGTCATTCAGTGCTGCTTTTACTCTGCTGTTCATTCTTTCCCACATTGCACAGGGGAATGGTTCAGCCTTTAAAACCTCGTTAATAGGAATAAATCCAGGATCCACTCTGATTCCTTAAAAGCATTTGCCCACCAGGTAATCTGGCAGTTTCGTTCTCATGAGTACAGTAGTCATGAAAAAATGTAACATGACACAGACATAGCCAACTAAGAAAAGAAAAAACCTATTGAGTTTTGGAATATTTGGTGCATTGAGATCCAGGTCCAGGATGAAGAAACCTAAGCCATCAATGTCCTTTCATAATAGATTGTCTGTTTGCTCAATGACCTCTGGTGCCTGTGTTTATCAAACACTGAGTCAGCCTTTGGAGACTCAGTAAAAAGATCATAGATTATTCTTCCTATGACTTGTAATAAAGACCCCACCAGGGCATACACCATCATGGCCAGTGGCGTGTCCACCCCAGATGGCTTTTTTAGCTTCAGGTGGGGGGCATTTGAGGACTAAGAACTGGAATTGATAGAGTCTCCATGTCAGTGGTGGCAGGGTCAGTGCTGTGGCCCTAGCCTAACAATAAGAGTTCTTAATTGTCTAGCCAGCCCTCCAATCTCTCAGATAACTTTTGATAGTTGATGATTTGTGTGCGTGTGTGTGCACAATAGCTCAGTTTTCTCACATGCTACCAGTGAAGAAGGGGAGTTGTCAGTCTCACACAACTATGAACCCTGATTGCTATAATGACCTGCCTATAGGAAAGACTGGTGCAATAGTGGCACAAATTTTATTGGAGGACCATTTTTTTTTTTATTCAAGGCCCATTCATTTCATGGGTTGGAACCCATACCTGACACTGTTAATGAGACCAAGAACCCGAGACTAGAGAGGTCCTGTGCCCTAGGGGAAAACATGCTACTACCACTATTCTCCTAAAGAAACATAACAATAACTCCTGGTGTCTTCTGCTATATGCATAGATAGTATATCACTCAACCCACACCAGAGAAGTTTCTCGCAGTAGATGATAATTGACACAGACAATTAGATGAACAACACATAGAGAGTAAGAGACTTTGGAGGCTCAGCCATAAATGGGATGTCTGTCACACCCCTCCCCTCAAGGCTCAGGGGTCTATGCAGAAGAGGGCTTTATTCTTAATAAACTGTTTATTCTTTGGGGGAGGGTTGAGACAGGGTTTCTCTGTAACTGTGGAGCCTGTCCGGGAACTCCTTCGGTAGTGTTTATTCATTATTAATAAACTAAGAAATGCCTACATATAAAAATAATGTGGGCCACTCTTTGCTATGGGAGACCTGCAGGGTATTCTGATAATGGTGATCAAGGTTTAGATATGGTTTACCTAAGACATAAAATAAATTATTATTTATGAAAGACTTATAAATATTTTTATTATTTAATGTATATTTATACATTAAACAAATATAATACTTATTGCATATTTATATAATTAATGTTATATAATAGTATGTAATAGATCAATATAGATTAAATATATAATCTATAAAAATAATAACATTAATATATTTATATTATATGATGGCATATATTACTATCTATATACATAAGTATATATTTATTATATAGAATATATATGAAAAATAAAAAGGTTTTAAAATCTTTTTGGGTTTGAGGATACAGCTCCATAGTAGAGTATATGCAGTTCAATCTCCAGTACCAAAACTTATTTAAACAAAAAATAAGAAATTTTATGTCTTTAATCTCTAGACTGAATTGAAGGCAATTAACAAACTAAAGGTTTCTAAAGCAATGATGACCAATAGTCAATGATAGTAGGGCCTGGGGGCTATCTGTGAACTGGGTAATTACTACCTTTAGCTTGCCAGTCTAGGTGGAAGAATTGTATATTTAGACTGCTTTGAAAGGACTTTTCCATATTTAGAAATGCCTTATATCTGTGGGCATGGTGTTGAGAACAGTGAAGTCTGCCTTAAAATGCTGTTGTTTTCTCTGAATGAGACTTTTTTAAACTGGTATTTGTTCTGGCAAAAACAATGACAGCAAAACTGTTTAATCTTTGTAGAGTTGATCACCAAGAGCTGTTCACTGTTGAATTCCCACTGTCCTGGGGTGGCTTCAAATGTCCAGGAGAGTTGATCCCCAAGCACTGTTGGATGCCCACTGTTCTGGGATCACTTCAGATGTCCAGGAGCTAAGAAAAGGGAAAAGAAAGGAAGACTCTAAGCTTAAGCAACATCAATGAGGTGGAACAGTGAGAGTCTTTAGTTTGTTCTTCAGAATGAGGAACCACAGTGGACTTTCCCCAGGATATTCATCTTAGTTTTTATTGCTATAGCTCTTTGTTTTATTCAATTCAGAGTCCCATACAATTGACACCTTTACTAAAGTAAACAGTCCACAGTTACCTATTGCTGATATCTAATTGTAGCACATTATAATTAACAACCAAAGAAGCCCATGTCCCTTAGCAAGTATTTCCCATATCCGTTACACTAATCTCTGAAAAGTTGTGTATTCAAACTCCTTTAACTAATCATGTTTCTTCGAGACCCACTTGGATGAATAGGTAGGAGTACTTCATTCCATATTGCTGAACAATATTCTATTGTATGGTTACATCATACTCTGTATGATCAGCTGACAGATACTTGGGTCTTTAGGCTCTTCTGTTTATAGGCCCTTGCATGATGTTCTAGTTTGCTGTGTTAAATCATTGACCAGAAGTGACTTAAGGGAGGAAGCGGTTTATTTCAATTTACCTTCCATGTAATAATCCATCAGTGAGTGAAGTCAGGGCAGGAAGTCCATACAGGAGCTTGAAGCAGAAACCACAGTAGAGCAAGGCTGGCTAGCTTATGCTTACA